GCAACCATGGGAAGAAGGTGCTCGCCATCGCCCGCAGACTCGCGCCTGTCAGAAAACAGAAGAACGAAATATGAATGTGATGCAGTGCAGTGCAGTGAGCAAGAGTACGACCGTGCGAGTAGCGAGCGAGCGAGATCATGGACAACCGACAAACCCAGCCTTTCCAGTATCCGAGTCCTACCTCTCTCCCAAATATGATCAAGATGGCGAGGTCCGTTGTCCGTCCGCGAGCTGACCACGTCAGGATCACCACCAGCCACGCGCACCCACCCCTCTTCTGTCGAGCTGAATGGAAGCCATAACGAGGAGGAATCAATACCTACCTACCTGAGGTATGAGTGCTGGTGTCATACCTCTGGTATCTCAATTGGAAAGCAAGCCACTCATGACCCAGGACCCAGGACTTGAGGATGCGTCAGGTGGCGAGGCCGCCATCGAGGTAGTTTGGAGGAACACGAACGAACGAATGTACTGTGTTGTGTGTCGTGTTTGACAGGCGGTGGGTGCTTCATGCAGACTGCAGCATGCGAGAAGGGAAAAATTTGACCATGACCATGACCATGACCAAGCCGTCATAGACCTTTGCGCAGGCTGGGAACCAGTCATAACAGCCGACGCAAAGGGAGCGACATGCGATTTTGAATTTTGCCTCGCTACTTTGTACTTGGATCCCTGCAAGTCTGGTCTCAGGCTGTTCAGCCCATGTCTGATGATCGCCGGCGCCGTTTGCCTGCCCGACAGTGGATGGAGCGCAGAGACCGGCTACTAAGCCTTCACCAGCCCAGAGAAGGTAGAGATTAGGGCTAGTCCATGTTTCGAGTCTCACCCTGGCACACGCAGTTGGAGATTGCAGGGATGGCGATGTAGCCTGAGGAGCCGTGGGCGAGCCCGTCATGTCCACTATATCTTACCGGAGCAAGCTAAGTACCAGGAAGATAAGGTAAGGTAGAATGGGGATACGTCGCCAGGTCCTACACACTAACTTCCTTCCCTGGGCACCCCTCACAAGATCCTGATGTTTTGGAGGCGTTGGAGGCGTTGGAGGCGTTGGATGCGAGTGACAGACCGTTGTCCTGCTCATCTAACATTGCATAGCCCTAGGCGATGTTGTGCGCATCTTATGCCCGTCCTTGACACTCGCAGAAACTCGTTCGCATTTTTGACGCCTATCAGTGGGGCTCCTGAGGCTAGGGGGCCACGGGCACTTAGGTCTGGGTCTACTACTAGTAGCGGGTGCTGATGATTGTCGTGCTAGACACCTTAACAGGGCGGCTGTGACGGGAACTAAGCCTTAGGTGTACCTTTTGTAGTACCAGGTACCTTGGGTACAGGGCACCCTCGTAGTTTTTCAGTCATCACAGGTACCTGAGAATGTGCCGCACATTCAAGTACCAGGTAGGCATCTGGTACTGAAAGTGGCCACTGTTAAAAGGCAAATATAACCCTCTTCTGACAAGTAACGATGCTACTAGGTACATCCAGCTCATTGCCCTCAGATGAGCATTACTCGACACGCTCTCAAAGTTCCTATCGAATGTACTTCAACTTTTCGGCCATTCCTGTAGAATAAAAAAAGGCCCGGGCTGTCTGACGGGCAAGCTCCCCCACAGATTGTCCGCCTAGACATCCGAACATGTGCCTAATTGGTGCCCGGAGACCGCCGAGCATCTGTCCGGGAGGGTGCTAAGGTGCTTCCACCAGATCAAATCTGTGGTCATACATATTGCAATTCTTCCACCAGCCGCAGCTGAGGCGTTACTATGGGGGCTTGCGCGGGCGTGGATACCAACCATTTCCCACTTGCCCCCAATTCGCCCACGACCAGCCCGATCTCCAGGCCCAACTTGAGGAAGATCATTGATGTCTCAGCAGTCTGCGTATCGGAGCTACCTACCCAATACCTAACATTATTATTATTATTATCTTATTGCTATTCTTGTTGAGTCGCGTGGGCCGGCCGTGGTGCGTTGCAGTCATCAAGTACAAGGAAAAATGTAGGAGAGAAAGGAAGAGACTGCGACCTCCCAATGTTCCAACACGCCTCTGAATTTTACCTACCTCTCTACTTGGATCTTTCAATTCTCTTCATTCTTCGCATGCCGTACGTCCTCGCGGTTACTAGCATTATTCATTCATGTGGAAGCTACCCATCCCTGGCCATCCATCAATCCCATCCACGTACCGGCTACTGCTCTCTCCTCTCTTTGGACCATTCGTGGCCTTCAATCATCCAGCTCCACACTCGACCTGGGTAGAGAACTAAAGACACACGAAACTGTTCACGCGACAAGCGCCCGCCTCTCGATCCTGCCCGCTTCGACCCCTTCATTCCTTGTCCCATCAATCGATTCGACACGCCTGTTCCCCAAGGGTATCTCCATCCTGGGCCACGCGACCCTGGTCGGTCAAATCTTGGACCCGTCACACCCCCTCCCGAGTCCCAGCATCCAGGCGGCATCTCACCCTCCCTGGCCACCTGCCCCTGCGCCTACGCCTACGCTACGGCGCCCGTTCGAAGCAAGAAAAAGCACGCCGTCGCTTCGGAAAAATCAATAGAAGGCTCATACTATCCACCAGAACCTGCAGCAGGCTCCCTCCTGCGCGTCCAGTCATCCCATGCCGACGTCTTCGATGCCTAACCGCAAGAGCAATCATAATAACAACAATTATAACGTGCAGTTGCACAAACACGCCGTTCCCAAGCCATCTCAATTGGCCGCACCAGTCCTTGGCCCCAATGCCACTGTCGGAGCTGGCGCTGGGTCGGAGCTGGGTACAAGAGATCCCGAAGTAAGTCAGTCCCAAGCCTCCCTGTTATGTGATCTCTGGCGTCAGTCTTTGTTGTTTTTACTATTGTTTCTGTCTCGCTGCATGGCCATCGTTAGTTGTGAGGACCAACATGGATGTGGCAACTATTCATCCATCCACGCAACGCCCTCCAATCCTGGTCGACCGTTGGAAGCGTTTTTGGGCCGCCTTTGGCAGCCCATGTTTGGCGCCCCCCGAGCTCCATATTTGCGGGCTCGCAGAATTGAGTGAATGCAACCCTGGTCGCTGGGCCTAGGGCAAGCGGGCAGTCCTGGTCATCTCCCTTTCTCCCTGTCATCATGCGGCAGGCCTTCTCATTCTCCCTGGTCCGGGATCATGGAGCCGGCACGTCTCCTCGAACCAAGTTGCCAGCAGAACGACGCCAACGTTGACGCTTGGGCCCCGGCAGTTGGTCCACCGCGAGTACCGCCGCTGGTGCTGGCACTGACACTGGCACTGGCACTGGCACGGCACCCTGTCGGATCAAAAGCCCAGCATGCATCAGCCGTCAGAACTTAGCGGCCTCGCGCCCCCGGCCCCCCATACACCAGCCAGTTGAAGAGAGCCATGCGGGCTGTCCACTCTGTGACCCTGGCCCCCTTGCCAGGTTCTCTAAACATCACACAACACACACCACACACCACACACACCCCCTCCCCCCCCAATGGCCCGACCATGGTTCCCAAACTGCCAGGATTCTAGCCCCAGTCGCCCGTCCTCCTCTCTCGCTCTCAGCCATGTCTCTACCCAAGCTCCCGCGCCCGTCAAGCTACGCTCAAGGCCCACTTGGCTGGCAGACCGTCCATACACCATGTCATGGCACTCCCGAGTCTCCATGTTCTATTTCCACTCGTCCTTTACAAGGCCCTTTGAACCTCTCGGCTTCCTCGTGTATGCTTCCATCCTTTCTCATCAATGACCCTCGCCAAAACTTGATTCTTTCAATTAAACTTCCTTTCACTCTTCGAACCCTGCACCGCCACGTCTGACGTCCATGCCCTCCGCCTTTTGCCATCTTCCATCGCAAAGTCAACATCCAATACAGCCAGCGTCGTCTACATAGGAACTTCGAATCCCCCTCCACCCCAGTATCTTCCAATCCCCTACTCTACCAGCCGGGCAGAAACAACCCAGTCTTCCTCGAACCGACTATCCAGCCCTCCCTGCGCGCAATCAACAAACAGTACATGGTACGCACCCTGCAAGAAGCCCCCCTTCCCGTTTCCTTGTGGCTGGCTTGTCAGTCGTGCGAGTCGCCCGCCCTGACACCCTTCGATACTTGTTCACCTATTTCGTGGATGACAACATTACCCACCCTGCCGGTCATCCTCAACGTCCCGGGCCTGTCTTGAAGCCTTGCACACTGGCCGTAGCCTGGTTTCCCTGGGTGCTTGTTGTTGCGATGACCCGGTTGCCTGGTGCTCAACATCCCTCCCACCTCGTCAGTTGGTGCAATTGTGGTCCCTGCAACGATTGCCAGACACGGTCATCTGCTTTCAATTTTGAATCAACTGGAGACGTCGAGTACGCGCTATGTTGCCCTCCCAAATGCTTGTTTGAAAGTTGCCCTCTGGTCTTTGCTGCTGGTCGGACAAGCTAGTGCCTTCGTCCCTTGTCTCTTTGACCACGGCCCTAGTGCATCTACGCGAAGACAATCTCTAATTTGGCCCAGAGCCACCCCTCGCTGCCATCTTGACCCTGACCAGGCCTGAACTTTCGTCCCTGACGTGACTTACACCCTGGTTCAGTCGAGGCCTTTCTCTTCTCAACTGGACCACCACCATTGTTTTCTTGCTACTGTCGCGACTTGCCAATATCTGATCGAGTATGTACTGACGAATGAACCCTCCATGCAGCATCGCACACCACAACCGTACCAAAACGTTGGTTCGGTGCATCCGGCTCAGCAGCAGCAGCAGTCACGAACACTAAACGCCGCCCAAACTTCTCAGCAGCCGTATCCATCACCCAACCTCTATACGCCGCAGCAGGGGCTTCAGTCACCGTTCCTCAACAGTCAGTCCCAATTTCAGACGCAGCAGGGACCAGGCGATACCCCGAGCTACTATCCTCCAAACCAGAGTCCTCGAAGCCAACATAGCACTGCTGGAACCTACTATTCAACAGGCAAGTCAATCATCCACTGGGGCAGGTGGTGCGTTTGCTGACCATTACCAGAAAAACCAGATTCTATGGCAGCAACGGCGACCATGCAGCGGCCCTATCCCCCTATATATCATACGCCGCAGTCGAATTCACCTGCGTCGGTGACCTCCCCTCAATCCCATGACCATGGAAGGCCAATGTACCCCCAACCGGGGTCACAGTTGAGCCAACCACTCTATGGCTACCCTCAGTATCAGTCCATGAATCAGGTACATCAACCGGCCTACGGAGGTCATCACGCACAGACCCAGCAACATCAGCTCAATTCGCAACCCATGCTACCGTACCAATCCACCGCTCCTCAATTGTCTCAGAGCCAAGTCGCGCCCCATCACTCCACGATCTCAAGCAGCCCCAGACTGAAATCTGAGCCTAACCAGGCATATCAGCAAACACCGCAGTCGCGCCCTGGATTGCTCCCTCAGCAGCAACAGCAGCAACCACAACAGCATCAGACTCCTGCGTCCCAGAATGTAGGTCTGTCTCAACAGCAGCCGTCGTCACAACAGCAATCTCAGCAGCAACAACAACCGCCAGGCATTCCACCCGGCTCAAATGCTGCGCCAGGGCCGATTCCAGCAACAACTCCGTTGGTGGTGCGACAGGACGGAAACGGTGTACAATGGATTGCCTTTGAGTACTCCCGGGATAGGGTCAAGATGGAATACACCATACGATGTGATGTGGAGTCAGTGGACGCCAACTCCTTGTCGCAGGAGTTCAAGTCGGAGAACTGTGTATATCCACGAGCCTGTGTGCCGAAAGAACTGTACAAGGGCAACCGCCTGGCGTACGAAACTGACTGCAACCAAGTCGGGTGGGCGCTGGCCGAATTGAATCCATGCTTGCGGGGAAAGCGAGGGTTGATTCAGAGAGCTGTCGATAGCTGGAGGAACAGCAATCAAGATCCTCGATTGAGGAGCCGTCGTGTTAGACGTCAGGCCAAAATGAACAACCGCTCCAAAATGACAGCCTCCCCTACGGGCCCGGCACCTGGCTCAACCGGTGGTGTGCCGACCGGGCTTCCTGGTCCAAACTCCATGGCCGCTCCGAGCACCCGACCCCCTGGCTCGCTGACGGGCGCACCGACCCAAATTCAACACCATCCACAGGAAGTACCCCCAACGGGACCCGATAACGTTGGAGGTATGTCTCAATTCCAATCCCGCACCACCTTGCCCAGTCTCCAACATTTCATTGTGCCAAATACCTGGCATTGATCCGTCTTCACCGTCACTGTCGGGGGCGTTTCGGATCTTCAACTGACTCTCGGACCACTACAGCATACAATACAGCACCTCAAGCATATCGTTCCAACCCCACGTCCCAGCACATGGCCAGTCCGAATGATATCCGTCAGAGTCACGTCTTTTCCGGTTACCCAAACTATCCTGCTGTCCCCACATCACTCGCTCCATCGATGGCGCCGACAATGCAGGGCGGTTTACAACATCTGGTCCGGCCTGGAGGACCGGCTGCCATGGCTTCTAAAGAGCAGGAAGAAGAAGAGAATGCTCTGTTTGGTGACTTGCCCGAGGGCAAACGTCGGAAGTTCATCCTTGTCGAGGACACCCAGAAAAATGCCCGCGTGCGAGTCAAGGTCACATTGGACCAGATCGAGATGAGCGAAATCCCCGATTCGTACCGCAAGCAGAACTCCGTTTACCCACGGGCCTATTACCCCGTTCAAATGCAGGCGGCGGCGGAGTCAAGCCGAGGTGATCGATTCGTCGAGGAAGGAGATGAGGTCGATGGCGGGGTTCCTACTCTCGGCAAAACCTCTGTCTCGATCCAAACTAGTGACGGGGAAGCTGAGGTGGATGTGCCTCAAATTTCCAGAAGCAAGCGCGGCCGTGAGCAGAAGATCAATGAGCTGGGCCACCGTATGGCCTGGGGTCAAGGTCGAGTGTTCTCTGGTCGGCCCATCTTCCTTGCTCGTGCTCGTAAGTGCTCGGAGGGCCTCTACTGAGGTTGTGGCGATGACTGACTCTCACGCTTCAGTGGATGCTTATCGCGGCAAACAGCGAAGTGCTCTTCTGGCGGCAGGGTCTGAGCCGTCAACTATTCCTGCACATCTCGAGATCCGGCCCGGCAAGAGAAGGTGGGTCGAGAGGACCAAACCTGCGGCCACGCAAGCCCTGACTCCTCCGACCGCGGCCTCCGACTAAATCTTTGCAATGTCGTCCATCATACTACGTACTCACGGAAGAGCTTTCCAACCCGCGGTCGGACCAGTGCAGTGGTGCTCGCCAAAGTACAGTTCGAATTCTCCCCGAGTGTACACTTACCACGGCCATGGTCCGGCCTGATGCAAGGCTGTACGACTCTCTGCATGACGAGAAATACAAAAAATCAAAAAGTTCAGTTTGTTGGGCAAATACGCAAGATTGTCTTTTTCTGCTTCTCCCCCCAGCCCTGCGAAGAGCGGTGCTTTGGTGTTTACTGTCAACTTTCTTATCAAGCAACGCTGTTCACTTGGTGGCTACGACATTTGTCCCATTCAAGAATGGGATTTCAACCTTGATTCATTATTGTTGCGGTACTGGTATGGCGGGGCTAGCAGGCGGAAACGAGCAGTCAATCAGGCAGGCAAGCAAGCATACCCTGATAAGGATATATGGATGAGCCGGAACAGGACAAATCCAAGAAGGAATATGTTTTTTATGTGTTTGAAATATGGGGCATCGGGATCTTGGATATATGCGTGGGTTGGGGTCGGTCAGACCGGCTGGCCATGGTCTTGTGAGCCTGGCCTGGCCTGGACTGTATGGGAACAAATTGTTATTATGGGGCGGTTGGAAACGTCTTCATTATTATGGTGGTGGTGGTCGTCGTGATTGTCGTCGTCGCCCTCATCACCCCTGTGTTGCGAATACCCCTGTGCGAAGTGATATGGTTTCTTTTTTTCTTGTTTTGTTTCGGGATATTTCAAGAGTCTTCCCTTCACGTCTTCTTAGCTTGATTTCTTCAACGATGGACTAGGACTAGGACTAGGATTGGGACTGGGATTGGGATTGGGAATCGGATTGAGATGTCGTGCAGTGCGATTCGTTCAATGGCAACACTTAAGTCCGGCGGAATGAATACGTCCACCAGCTACTAGTAGGCCATATCCATTAGTAGTCAAGACGGAATACCAAGATATCTGTAGATATCTAGGCAACGTGTCCGTCCGACCTCGGGATTACATTACATGGTACTATATGTCATCAGACAGACAGATGATACCTTAATGTGTATATGTGTAACAGTAAGGTAGGTTCACGTTCAAGTTGTGCATTTCCACCCTGGGTACCTCTAGAGACATGTTCCTGATGCTATTCCCGTCGTACTCCTGGGATTGCTTGGATCTGAGTCTGATATCTCCCTCATCCAAGTCCTATTCGCCGAGTCGGGACGAGTCCCAGCTCACAAAGCTCCCGCTGCCAGCAACCACAGGGAAGAAAGGCCCTGCCGGAGAGACTATGCCCATAGAATCATGTTTCATATTTGGATTCAGCTTTCTGGAGCAATATTTCAAGTGCTCTGTTGACTGATACGCGGGAATCATGAACCCTCCCAACAGCAACAACAGCCAACACACGACAGCAAAAGCAACTCAGGCCCATCCGCAACGTTTCTCGCTTGCTGTCCCATCCAACGTGAGAAATAAGGACCGTGGAATACTTGAGTTCACCATCCATCCTCCCTCTGGCTTCGCTTGATTAAAGGTCGATTACACTCTGCAGGTGCCACGCCTCATGCGCCGACGGTCTTCCCATCACAATCGGGAATCTGTAAGCCGGACTTCAAATTCCTCCCCGGGTCCATGAGACCCCATTTGTCCTCCCACTGTTGATCGTCGGTATTGTAGACTACCTTCCACGGTTCATCAAATGCCTCAAACCTGTAGGCACAATCAGTACGAATATCCGTCCATACAGCCGCGGTGACTTACCAAAAATAGTCCGTTCCATTTTCCAGGGCTTGACACACCCAACTCTCCATGAAGGTATTCATGTTGTCCACACTGGCCACAGAGCCACTCTGGCCAGGAGCGCAAGACCCATCAGTTCCACCACAGTCTGTGCCTCCAGAGCTCGGCCATCCAGTTTCACTGATGATTTGTTTGACGCCAGTCATCCCCTGGGTCAACACAACATCGTGAGACTGCCAGAAGTCCCACGTCCAACCAGAGGCCACTTCGGCCGTCACCCCGGCAAAGAAAGGATGGATATTTGACATGACATAGTCGACGACTTGGACAAGTTGACCATTCCAGTTGTCACCCAAGTCCGACGTTGCGACGGGAAGGTCGTAGCCTTTGGTTTGGAATTGGGATTTAACATCCTTCAGAATGTCAATGAGTTCCTGTTCCGACTTGGTCTTGTCCTCCCCAGCACGGTAGAGGGCTTCATTGCCGACAATAACGCCTTTGAAGATGGTGAGATCCTTGGTGCTGGAGAGTATCTGATACATTTGATTCAGTTGCCGATCGGTGGTGGTTTGGTTAGTGTCAATCCAGACCCCCATCCACACTTTCATATCCGTCAACTCCAATTTATCAATCGCATGAAGGACCATCTCGGTCTGATTACAGTCGGTGCCATAGAGCCGAACAGCGTTGGTCAACTGTGACAATACAGCCATGTCTCGAGTGACATTGTTCTGAGATGGAGGGTAGGTGTGGCACAGAGGATACTGCGTACCCCATGGAGTATAATCCATGCCGGGAAACACCTTGTGAAGGTTCTTGTTGTTCATTAAAGCTTGAACCTCTGGCGAGTCCTTGTCGAGATCTCCATTAGCCGCATTGTCGGAATCTGCGTTGTTGGTGGCGCCGCTTGACGAACCGCTCGAGTCGTCGGAATTCCGAGTTCCAAGAACGCCGCCAATTATACCAGCGATGAGGGCAAGGACAATGACCAGCCCAATGCCGACTCCCACCCAAGCCATCTTCCGTCGCCCCTTGGTCTGTCGTGACAACCATTCACTCTTTTCTGCCTTTGACTCTGGCTCAACAGGATCATATGTACCGCTCGGGGTATAGTTCTTGGCCTTGCGACCGAACAACCCCCCAAACACGCCAGCACTGCCCGCGGCTGTGGCTTCGGCGGATCCTGAAGGCCGATTCACTGCCCCTTTCCCAGGTGACTGCTGCTCGTTCATGAAGCCATCGTCTCCATCATCAATGATGTTGTTGGGGTTGATGCTCGCTTGGTGCATGATGTTGGCGGAGTTCGTGGCAGACTTGTATGGGTGTTGGTACGGCGAATCCTGATAGTTGGAGTAGGATACAGGAAGGTTGGAATGCAACTGGTATTCCTCCCTTGGATTGCTTCCGCCGGATAAGACAGACGACATGGGCCCTAACGAAGGGGTCGGGGTGATGGTGCCGGGTGTGGCAGCGCCTGCGGCAAGAGCATTGGAAGAGCCATAGGAGTTTCTCTGAGGAAGGTGCGAAGGAGACTCTTGTGATCGATATGGGCTCAACTCGCGCGGACAATCTCGATCATACGGTGAATAGGCCTGAGGGATAGACCGCATTGCGTCTTGTCCAGTTTGCTGGGAGTGAAGATCCCCAACCCCTTGTGGCACTGAAGCGAACCCTGCTCCTGCTGCTGTTCCTCTCAAGTTGTCCATCCTGGGGCTCGGGTCCATGTAGAGCTGATGAGATTGTGAGAAGCCAGAATCATTTCTTGCAAGCCTGGTCGGGCTGGCTCGATGGGGCGGGGGAGGAGGGGCGGGAGATTCGTCGTAGTCTGGCTGAAACGACCGGCCGAAGGTATCTGAAGATTCGCTGAGAAGATGTGTACTTGGTGGTAGGGGCCGTCTACGTGGAGAGGTGGGAGGAGAGCCCGTGGCTGGGAGGCGCTGAGGTGATGTAGAGGCGTATCTGGGTGGAGGTGAGATGATATCCCGTGTAGGAGTGTCATGATATGGTTGGTAGTATTGAGAGTCAATTTCCGGCCTCTCCTGCGTCTGAGCATTTAGATCATGGTCGTCCTGAGTTTCGAACGAAAAGTTCCTTCCGTTGGACATAGTGTTCCGCCTGCGGCTATCCGAGCGAGGATGGGCCCTGGCACCCAAGCGGTGTGAGGATTGCCGTACAACGACCTAATGCAACGTTGAGTATCTCAGATTGTAAACGAGTGTTAACGATTCTCTGATTAGAACGATGGACGACCCTCCAGGCTCGAACGGCGGTTGTAGGAAGGACTTGAAGCGCAGGGAGGCACAACTTGGTGTAGACAGCGAGTGACGAGGTATTTTTGGTAGGGGCGCAGCCGCAGCAACAGAAGCCACCCACGACGTCTGTATGACTAGGCTGAAACGACGCGGAGGAATCTGATTAGCGGCGGTTAGCCGGATGGCGAGAGGCAGTCAGCCGTAGACGGAGACGAGGGAAGATGGATGGATCGGAGAAGAGGCGATGCAAGTTGGGACCAGAAGGCTGGACGGCAAGCGAGTAGAGAGGGAAAGGTGGTAAAGGGGATAGAATTGACGATGAGACTGCGCAGTCTACCTGATTGATTGATTGATTGTTCAGAGGTTACTGCAGTGTGATGAGATACTAGTTAGTTACCTTGGTCGTGGCCATGCATGAATCCCTAGGGTCAATCGATCCATTCGTTCGTTCCGGTCATCCTTCATTCATTTGTGTACAGAGAGAACTTGCTAGGTGCCAAAGGGAGGCGGAGGTGGAGATCCCACGGTTGCTGGTGAGACACAGCCACCAACGCCGAATCTGCCATCGCGCGATTCAACGGCCAGCCGGTCTGACCAAAAGGCTGGGGTGACAGTTCCGCCTGACACCTGCCACTGATGCTTGCTGTACACCTAAATGGTGGTGGTCAGACACGTCTATTTGAGATTCCCATCCTCACCCAATGGGCAAAATCTTACAAGAAGTTGGCAGCCAGCTTCAAGTCTTGACGCGCTCTCATGCTGTTCGCTGATCTACTCTGTACATTGACTGACCATCCCTGCGCTCCCTCTGGCTCTCGCAGCTCTTCAGTCTTCACCGAGCACATCCTGTCTGCCAGCAGTACCGACAAGCCTGGGCCAGTATGCAGCGTATGAAGGTAGCACTCTACTCGATCTTGTCTTCTCCACCATCTTCCGCTTCCACCAATACCGGTTTGTCGCCTACACCCGAACTGTCCTTGCGTTCCTCCAACTCCACTCCATTCGAGCCCTCATTGTGCACTCCGGCGCCATTCCGATTCAAGTCCGGCATGAGAAAACGTCCCTGCAGAGCGGACTGCTTCACTCCGGAACCGGTGAGTTTCTTGAACGCACGCGGCTTGACCTTCGCAATGGTAGCCTCGTGGCGCTTTCGAGGGCGATCACTGTCATCGCTTGACTCTGTATCTGCCGTACCGTGATCCTCCTCGTCCGTCGACCATGGATATGCGCCAAGTTCACTCGTGTCTCCTTTGGGAATAGGTGTGGAATAGCTTCTCAAGCGCTTCAGAGAACTGGCTTGCGAACTTGCACTGGCACTGTTGGAGAGCGACGAGATTGGACTCGCCCCGATGTTCGGTCGTAGGTGCTCCAACGGTTCGCCGTCAGCGGTGCACAATCCCAAGTTGACCAACTTCTCGATGGCCATGTACTGAAAGATGAATTTGGCGTAGTACTCCTCGCTCTCGTCATAAGCACGCCACGCACACGCCTTGACGCGCATTCTCTGCCATGGCTCGCAGACTGAAACGGTATGAGTGCCCTCCGCATCCTCTTCCTGACTTTCTTCCTCGGCGCGACTCCAGTCGCTCTGAGAACCATGTCCCAAGTCGACGATGCGAGTGATGCGGACTTCAATCTGCCCAGGCTTGCTTCTCTTGACCGCATTGACATCTGCCAGACCTTCAATGACCTCGTCCAGTTCCTGTTCGAGCACGTTGGCGGGGAGCTTGGGATCGGGTGCTGCAATGTCCATCTTGGAGAGAAGAACATCGATGCCCACCGGTGTGAAGAACCATTCCTGCACCATGATATCTTGCTGAAGGCTGCCTGAGGATCGGCCTTTGTGTGCGGCGGTGTACCGTCCTCTTAGGGTGTACGGCTCAAGGGGCGTCTGGTTGAAGTCGGTGTAGAGGATCTGGCTGCACTCCGGGGTTTCGTTGCCATCAATATAGACCCATGCCACGAAGTTGAAGGGAACTTTCCGTGTGCGGTTGCTGCTGTTGTTGTTGCTACTGGCGCGATCTTGCTTCTGATCTTTCTTGCTGCCCGACAGCGATGACCTCAAGTTGTACCGCCCGATGCTGTCACCGATCCTGTCTGACTGCTCGTCGGTGGGATTGAGCGCAGCTTTTCCTTTCTCGCCGTAGAAGGGGAAAGGTAGCTCAAGTCCGACGCTGATGCGGAACCTCTGTCTATCTCTGGCTTGGACTTTGGTACTGATGGTTTTGCTGCGTGCGATTGAGCCGCCCAGGTGCTGATGACCGTACTCTGGGAACTCCTCACCACTGTTGGTCTCCAGGTATACGTCAAAGCCGTGTGCGCTCGGCATTGTGTCTCTGAATGGGTCCTTGTGGGCTGAATAGAAACCTAGATATCTTTGTCAAGGCTGAAGAGAGAGAGAGAGAGAGAGAGAGTATTTGGGATGTGTGCTGATATTGCGTCACGGTAAAGCTGGGAATTCGCAGCGGTGACTTGTTCAGGTTAGACATGCTGCAGGCAGAGAGTTAACACAGGGCCGAACTTGTACAGTCTGATTCCGAGTCTCTTGTGTTAGTATGTGCACTGTCTGCAGCCTCGTGATGCTGGCAGTGGTTGACTGCCGTGCTCCCCACCATCAACGCGGCCTGGAAATTGCACGGCTTTCTCCCAAGACTCAACATTGAATGAGACAGTATTCAACCTAAACACTACCTTCGCCAACATTGCTGACCCTTTGTCCGCGGTTTACAGTGTGAACACAGTCACAAGGCTGTGTGTGATGTGACTGAAAAGGGGCGAAGAGCGAATTCCTAACCTGATTGGGGAAACAGTATGGTGCCGCCCTAAGCTCACTCCTTTTCAGATAATTTACTAGCTAGTACTTTGTATACAATGCGAATCAATCTATACAGTTGGAGACCCATGATAAAGACGAGATTTGCTACATTGCTTGTGTTGAACCGTGTGGAATGGAAGACATGTCAATTATTCAAGTCTGTCTTCGCAAGCCGGGTATCCAGGGCGCAACAAAAGAAACGCTGCAAGACTTCTGCGTTCCCATCCCCCGTATTTTGATCTTTCTTTCTCCTTGCTTACCTCGCTTGAGAAGCTGGGCGGCTTCTAGAACCCGTCATGGATGCTGTTTGCAAAGCCAGCTGCCCAAAAGACAGAGGCATGCTCCAATGGGTAAGGTGGCCATGCCTGCGCCAATAGGCAGATTCTGCCCCATTTCATGTGTCCTAGCACACAGAGTCAAATATGAGATGCTCGTGGGGCGAAAGACGTAAGTAGATTTTCGATTTTGAGGGTATGCCGGACCTGTGCGACGGCTGAAACGAACGGGCAATGTGGGTACCATAGTCAGAAAACGCCGAGGCGAGGCCGCTGATGCTAGCCTTGACGCATGACCAGAGTTACGGTGATATGCTCTCCTGTCCGTACACTGCCACATGCACGCATGAGCTTCTCTGTGCCTGCATCTGTCTGTAGGACTGAATGAGAGGGGGAGAGCCGCCAGAAGAAACAAAGGTCGTAGGATGACCGGACAGTTCGATGCGGCTCATGGGTTCCCAGTCAGCGGTTGATCAACCGACGCGCCATATTGTTTCCACCTAACACGAGCACCGGTTGCCGCCCCTTGTGGGGTCTGTTGAGTGCTATGAGCCTGGCCGAAAGGTGAACAATAGCAACAGCGGAGAATCTCGACGCCAGAGCTGAGTGTGAGTAGCTGCCGAGCCAGTCTTGCCTCTCCGATGGGTGACAAAGTGTGGCTCACATTTCAGTGTCAAGACATCAGCGATTTGAGTTTGAGCCATCTGATCCCCAACAGGCCCGGAGGGGTAGTACAGGCTGCATAGACAACTGGCTTGCCAACAAGCTGATGGATTCATTTTGATGTATCCAATCATCTCTGTCATTTCTTTGGCACCCCGATCTCATATCCTAAGAGCACCTCCGTCGATGCTCCCTCCCAGCCACGATTCCCTCCAGTCGACAATAAGAATCGACATGCAGGATCGAGGTACAGATGTGACACCACTCCCGTTCTGTGACCAGGTACAATCAGGAAGGGCACTGCCGACCGGTGAGCTTGTGACTCTTTCAGGTCGTATAGTCGGAGAATATCATAGGACGCGCACACGAGATGACGGCCATTCGGCATCGCTTTCACTGCGGTGACTGCACCGCTACCATTTGGAAATCGGAAGACTCGCTCTGGGCTTTTCAGACCTTTTCGAAGGTCATACTCCTCCACCGTGTTGTTGCGCCTGCCGGCGTAGATGAAGTTGCCGTCGGGCGACCAACATGCGCTAAGGCACCAAGGGGGCGTGTTCCGCGGCAAGATTCGAGCGACCGGTTTGGGTTGTCTGCGATCCCACACACGGATGCTCCCATCGATCGACGTGGCAAGGAACGTCGAGTCGGAGGTCGGCGTTGTTTCGCCTTCTGTAGCATCATCCTGCTCGCCACTTTGCTTCTCCAGGTCGTCGGCGTGAGGCAGGCCGTTAGCAACTGGCTGTTGGGCAGTATTAGGTACTCCATTGACAATGGCGCCAGATATCGATGGGGAGCCGGGGTGCTCTGGAAGCTCAGGGAGGGCCTCGTTTCGGGGCTCTGTGGCCTCAAGCATACTGGTATCATGGTCGACCAAGTCCTCGGGATGAGGCGCTTGTGCCAAGGCTTGACTCATCGCATCATCCCCGAACGTATCAGTGAGGTCTCCTCCATTGGCCATGACAGCTCCTGCTCCGTCCCCAAATAGATCGTCATCTCCGTCACCAAATAGGGAGTCTGGTGTAGCAACGGCGGGCTTTTCGCCGGTGTCTGCGCCATGACCCTCGGATCTGATTCCGTTTGGTAGGGCGTTGCCGTCATTCGAGGAAAATGTGCCATTGGTAACGACTACTTCCCCTGATTCGACAGGCACAGGCACAGAGGACAAGGGACGAGTCTCTATTGCAGAAATCTGGCCTGCGCTGCCGGCAAAGGTGTTTCGTGCTTGACCAGTCTCAAGGTCCCAGTCGACGACCGTTTTGTCCCAGCTTCCAGAGAGTAGACTCTTCTCATCGGAAGAGAGGGTAAGGACAGAGACTGCAGATGTATGCTGTTGTAACAAGCTGATCTCTCGACCCTCATCATGTCTAACGGTTTGTAGTCGAATGGGCCCAGCAGATGTACCAGATAGAAGCCAGAGAGCCTGGCTGTGGCAAGCAAGGGAGTAAACAGGAGACAGGTTGTGTGGCGTTTGGGGCCGGGCATCCCAATTGTCCCAATAGGTCATAAGCACGCCAGCTTTCACGACGCTGTCCACATAAGGGTGCCGCTGAGCAACAGTAAGGGCAAGTTTGTAGTTGACCGAGTCGACCCAGTTGAATTTGCGGATGTAGCCATCAGAGCCTCCGGTAAAGACCCAGCGCATGTCAGCCGTTGCGCATACAGCGTTGATTGAGGTACTGTGGGGAGCAGCAATCGTAGGGACAATGTCGTAGGTTTCAGCTTCAAGATACTCAGGCGCAATGTCCGGATGTGATGCGACCCCGCGAGCGGAATCAGTCTGCATTGTGGAGTTTTGCTGGGTGCCGTCCTGAGTTGCGTTCGGCTCCCCTGAGGCGTCCTCGTTATCAGAGGGCTGACTGCCACCAGACGCGCTTCCAGCATCGTCATCATCGTCTCCATCCCCTTCCCCTTCACCCTCGCCTTCAGCATCTAGATCGCCATCCCCGTCTTGATCCCCGTCTTGGTCACCCTCGCCGTCGCCATCTGCTTCGTCAAGATCCTGCATGGTCTCGTCATTGTCGAAACTGCCATCCTGGGATCTGTCTTCATCTACATCGAACGCAGGCATTTTGGGATTGACATGACAATGTTGGGATATGTGTGTATTTTTCAAGGGGACATCGTGCGACCAAGGAGTAAGATATAGGCGAAGAAAGATATCTTTGACGAAGATCTGATCGAGGACCTTGAACGCGACTTGGAGTTCCAGCCAGATCTGGTCGGGCGACTATGCCTGATCGGGGACAGCGCCTCGATGGCCGGATGTAGGAGAAACTTTGATCCGGAAGAAGCCAACATCTCCAAAACACCGTCCATCATCCAGGGGGAATGTGTAAAGGCTCTTAGGACTCTGGCATCTCTTCCCCTTGTCAATTCCCACTGTCAGTCACTTAACTCTTTGTCACCTGCTTCATAAGGCGGGCGAGTTTGGGTGGAGAAGAACTGCCATCTTGCTGGTGTTCGGATTGCCATCATAGGGCCATTGGTGCTCAATATTGTACAGTAGCTCAAGGCCGGTGTCTTCAGGGCTTCTCTAACTTGATACCGCTATAGCAACACTCACCTGAAGCAAGAGAGGGGCAGACTCCCGCAGTTGCCCATACATATGAAAGGCTTGCGGTGATGGTGGTGCCTTGATAAATTGTGTGCTTCCTTGGTGCGTTTGATGCGGTGGATGCGGTTGGTGCAGAGAACTTGTCCAGAGCTGCCGGTGAAGCCAGTGATGCAAGTGAAGCACGCACATTGAATAGACATTCATGTCGAGATCTAAAACGATCTTGAGTTGCGGTCGTTGATGAGTGACTGCGTTTGGTAAGAATCTGCCTGCGCTCCTGCCAACGCTGGTGAAGGCTCTTCACATCCTGCGGTCGCCCTGCGCCTGACCTGCAAATATCAACTTGGCAGCTTGGGAACTTGAACTTCTGCACAACACAGCACTGCAGTGCTCACTCTTCTTTCATCCTTTGTCAATCATATTACTGGCATCCTATCTTAGGGTTGCTGCAGCAGCATCTCACGTGGCCTGACTGCTTTATTACCGATCTTGAACCATTGGCTTGCAGCAAGATCTTCAGCTACAAGTATCATTCCATATCTACCTCCTTACCCGCGGTATTCAACTCACTCCTACCCAAGTCGAACTGCGGCGAGGTGAGCTCGCAGTGCGTCTACTATGGCATCTCAACAGCGCTCGGGGCGCAATGGAGACCACCGAGGGCCTTATCCTCAAGGAGGCGCCACCGCTGGTATGTGAACGGCTTCCTGACAAATTTTTCACCATCAACTCTTGGATGGCTTGTCCTGTATACGCTTCGTCCAATGCTGACCTTGAGACGCCAGTAGATGACCGCATCGCTCCAAGTTCGCTGACAGATGGTGGTAAGATCCTCTCCTTACCTCCGTTCATCCCCTCTCAGTCTTGCTTTCAATGGCACATGATACCTTATTTAGCACGGCGAGATCTGGACGGCGTGTTGATAACCTTGCCTGCCTATGTCTAGAAATGAACACACATCTCTCGGAACGGTTTGGGCGTGGCGGTCGCTTTCGCAACACATACAATGCCTTGACCTCTGCCCTCGACAACGGCCTTGATCTCAATTTGAACATGGATATCCGCCAATATGTCCAAAAACAGGAACAGATCAAACATTATTCGGAAAAAGACGCCTGGCTGTCGCAGCCCGAGATACCCACAGGCGAGGAATTGGCAGTGGCGGAAGCCGCGCTCCCACCTAACAAGCTGGACGCCCCTTGGAGGTCGAAGGATAGATATCTTCGAACTCAATATGCGCTGCTGCGTGAAGACGCAGTGGGAAACCTTCGCGATGCTGTACATGATTTTCTCGAGGATCCTGCCACTGGCGACACGCCGAAATTCTCGGTTTACGATCAGGTCTACATTCTCGGTTTCACCTTCGCTAGAAGGGGCCTTGCTGCTAGGATTCGGTTTTCCACACAACGAGTGGGAAAACGCATTTTGTGGCAGACTAGCAAACGACTGACCAGCGGCTCCATCGTGGCCCTGGTACGAGCTAAGGACAAGCTGACCGATCTGAGTGGACTCGTGGTTGGAGTTGTTGCAGCGAGACCGCTAGCTGGGGTTTTATGCCAACCGCCGCAGATTGACATATACTTCGGCCGCCCCGAAGACGTTCAAATCGATCCACAAGAGGAATGGCTCCTGATCGAAGCAAAGCAGGGATACTTTGAGGCTTACCGTCACTCACTGCGGGCGTTGCAGAAGCTCAGTCAAGAACCGTAAGTCTCCTGAAGGCTGAGGCCGAATTGAACGTGCAGTGTCTGATGGATCTACTATAGTTTCCCCTTGTCCAGCGAGATTTGCCAGTTTTCCACGACCGGCGAGCCGCCTGCTTATATTCAGGAGAATCCGCGTCTTGACATTTCTGCAGCTGCAAACCCTGAGCAGAAAAAGGAATATTCCGACATCGACGTGACCAAAGACTGGCCCCTTCCACCGAATGACACGCTTGATGACACTCAATGGAAAGCACTGCAAGAAATCATCATAAAACGTCTCGCCATCATTCAGGGGCCTCCTGGCTGTGGAAAGACCTACATCTCGAAGATTGCAGTGCAAATCCTGATAGACAATCGCAAAAAGGATGACCCGCCAATCATCATTGCAGCACAGACGAACCACGCCCTTGATCAGCTTTTGGCACACATCTCTCACTTCGAACCCGAATATATACGGCTGGGCGGCAGAAGTACAGACCCTGAAGTCAAGAAACGTGCTCTATTCGAAATCCGCCAACAGGAGCGGATCAAGCAAATCCCCGGTGGCCTTCTAGGGAAGTCCAATCACCTCCTTAGCAAACAAGCAAGAGCCATGATTGCGATCCTTGCTCCAATTGCGAAACCCGGACCCGATCCTTTTTCCACAGACCTCGTTTCCGGGCCGCAAACCCTTGTTCAACTTGGTATTATGACAAATGACCAGGCGAAGTCTCTCGAGGAGGCTGCGTCTCGATGGGTCTCCACCAGTGATAATGTGGACGGGCCGTTGAAACTATGGCTTGATCGCGCCATAGTGCCGTTTGAGGTGAAATATGCTCAGGACGACTTCGGATTTGAGGACGGGGTTGAAGAAGATGATTTGGAATTCGAGCAACTCAGAGAAACCGAAGATGCGACTGGCGTCAACGATGAGGAAGATATCGAGTTACTGAAGGGGCCATGGTTGGAGCTGCGTGAGAGGTTTACGGTCCCGTCATGCGCCCCTAGCGATATTGCAAGAGCCGAACAGATCTTGGCTTCGCCGGCGACTACCGACCTTTGGAAGGTACCACATTCTCTACGTGGGGCCCTGTTCTCCGTCATACAGTTGAAAGCCAAAGATGCCATTGCGGTGAAGTTTCGTGAAGCAGCAGCAGTCTACGACAAGCTCGTCAGGGACAGCCTTGTTGGCAAATGGGAACAAGACTGTGTCTATCTGGCTCGTGCCAAGATCATCGGCATGACCACAACGGGTCTGAGCAAGTATCGCCCCCTGATTTCGGCGCTCAAACCCAAGGTCATCCTCATCGAAGAGGCTGCCGAGGTCTTGGAAGCTCCAGTCACGGTGGCTTGCATCCCCAGCCTCCAGCATCTCATCCTCGTTGGAGATCACCAGCAACTCCAAGGGCATTGCAGTGTACAGGACCTGGAAAACGACCCTTTCTTCCTGAACATTTCCCTCTTTGAGAGATTGGTCAAGAACAACATGCCATACAAGACTTTGCTTCGACAACGTCGTATGGATCCAGAATTCCGCCGACTTATTGCTGGTCTGTACCCGGGCTTGACAGACCATCCAAGCGTCATCGACCGCCATGTCGCTCCTTGGGGGATGGGGCCCATCAAATCCTTCTTCTTCAGTCATCAATGGTCTGAATACAGAGATGAATCGCAGAGCGTCTACAACGAAGAGGAGGCGAAGTTCATTGCCGGCTTCTACCGCCATCTGTTCAAGAATGGTATCGCACCCGAGCACATCACTGTCCTTACATTCTACAACGGACAGCGCAAGAAAATCCTCCGAGAACTGAAAGCCTTCCCCGAGTTCAAGGAATCATACTGCTCGGTCAAAACGGTCGACTCATACCAAGGCGAAGAGAACCACATTATCATCCTGTCCCTTGTTCGAAGCAACCCCGAAGGTAAGATTGGTTTTCTGGCAAACATCAACAGAGTCTGTGTGGCTATGTCAAGGGCGAAGCACGGTTTTTACATGTTCGGGAATGCTCAGGTTCTCATGCAAGGAAGCCTTCTCTGGTACAACATCGTGAATATGCTGAACGCCAGTCCGAAACGCTTAGGTCCGGTTCTTCCTATCCAGTGCAAGAACCACCAGACCACGATGCTCATGCAATTCCCAGAGGATTGGGAAGGCACCGAGGGAGGGTGTTCGAAGCCATGCGAGACTCGCCTGCAGTGCGGTCATGCATGTCCATTGCTGTGTCACCCATTCCCTCATGAAGAGGTCCAATGTCCGGAAGAGTGTAAGAATACCCTCCTTTGTGGCCACGGATGCGAGAACACCTGCTCTCAACCCTGTAACTGTACCTGTGAGGAGTTCGCCCGGTTCAAGCGTGAAGAGGTCGCTAGAGCTTGGACTGCCTCCCATGCGTCGGCATCGACAGGTGAAGCCATGAAGGAGAACCAAGAGTCCAAGGGTCTCAACAATGGTCAGCATACACCCCCGAATGGCAGCGCAACTTACTTACAGCAGCAGTTTTCCGGCCTACGTAACCGTGATCCCACCTATCAAGACATGAGGTACACGGCAAATCCTACCGACATGCAACGACAGCATCCGTCACCCGGCAAATTACGCCAGTTAGTCAATAGTTCACAAAGTCCCAAATCAGAAGGAGCCATCAACCCCCTTCACTTGTCACCAGGAAATCATATCGAACGTCGTGGGGATTGGACCGTTTTTGCGAAAGGAGGAGTTGTTGCCGATGATGAACGGAAGGCAGCCATCGGACAAGTGAGTCGCAGACTCGAATACGATGAGTCGTCTCGGAACATCCTTACATCCCATGATTCACCACCAAGACTTGTCAACGCTGGCCCCGACGCCTCCGGAACTGTAAACGTATCGCCGATCAAGAAAGAAACCATCACAATCATGAGAGATGGAAGAAGCAGATTTATGCACGACTACGTACCTGCCGCATCCCTAGGACATGAAGGCCTGGAAGCAAGAGGGGACGTCGGCATCGCGGAGGTCGATCGTGGGCAGCAGATTCTAGTGCCGCATCTGAGAGGTGGAGGCCATACAGAGCCGCAGGGCTTGTCAAATGGTGAAGAAAGCTCAGACGGTGCTGTGGCTCAAGATGGCATCCCTAGCATTGCAGAGGACGCGTGGTCTTCGCTGCCCAGGAGCGAGCACAAGGCTGGCAGTGGGATCATCAACGAACTGAGCGCGTTGGATGCATACTTTCGCACACAGTAACGGTTTTAAACGATGATCGATACTGGTGGATACTGCTGTGAAGGTCGAATGGACCCGGGCTGGCTGTGCTTGTTCAATGTGGCTCGAGTCGACTGCGACTGGGTGTGGCATAGACAACATGCTTTTTCTGTCCTTTGTACAAGGGCCGTTAGGTATCCAAGTAGCTTGGACATTGACATGAGTCTTTAACGCTATCAACATCAACATCTTCGGTATTACTGCTGCGTGAAATGTATTCAGAGTGTAATGAGTAGGCCCAAAACTACCCGAATGGTGGTGGGTGAAGTCAGACTACGCATAAGCCGGACAGACATCGCTCCTCTTCTGAACAATGTTAAGACTCGGCTTCTAGATACGAACGTTACCTGTATCCCCATGGGATTGGGAGATGTTTCACAATTGATGTTGAGATAAGCAAGATCGAACAAATCAATTGAGAACAATATTAACTTGACCACTTCTACACGGAGGGGAGGGGACCCGGGCACAAAGCCAAGAAGCCACCTGGTCTGGCCTTTCTCGTCATCCCTGTACCCGACAAGAAGTATATTACAAATTCGGAGAATACTAGTACTAGTACATGACGGGTTGATACATAATGTGGTTGCTACAAACCCCGTCACCCGGTCTTCCTTCTCTTAGGTCTTGAGAGTTGAAGAGTTCACTCTTCTGAAAGTCCAACGTCATTCGCATCTCACATGATCGTTGCGTCGAAATAGTGGGATTAGGTATGTTATTTTCACGAGCATCAACTGGAATTCGATTGCTGTGATCATCACCTCATTGTCCCGATTGAAGTCATAGCCCAGTCTCAATATCACCCGGCCACAGCGACTCTCGCACTCCATGGCCTCCGCGACCGAAGTCAAGTCTTTTCGGGACCTGTTAGGTGCGCCGCGATTGACGGCCGGTCCGCAAGACAGCACGCTGATCATCATCGACGCGCAGAATGAGTGAGTAGTAACCCTTGCCCTTGGTATTTTATTCAAGCTGGTCATACCATACTTGGCCACATCAACTCTCTGTCCACTGCATCATGATCTCTTTCCACCATATATGCCTGTTGTCTGCCTTGCCCCCATGCTGGAAGCATGTATTAGGATCTCCATTCGTACCTGATGTATACATGTTTGCTGTCCAGTTCGAGTTCCCGGCGGTTAATGGAAACTTTCTGTTGCAGATACGCGCAGGGAAATTTGAAAACAGTTAACGTGGAACAAACCCGCAAAGCCATCGCGGCGCTGCTCGAAAAGTACCGTGCCGGCAGCGACGGGAAGAACATTGTCCATGTGGTACACAAGACCCCTGACGGCGCACCGGTGTTCACTCCCGGCACAGCTCTCGCCGAGGAATTCGAGGAATTGCAACCCCGGCCTGGTGAGAAGGTGATCGAGAAGGAACGCGTGTCTAGTTTCACCGGGACGGATTTGCACGATTATTTGACCGGCTTGGGCGAGCGTGGCAAGAAGACCGTGTTGACGGGCTATATGGCGCACGTGTGCGTCAGCAACACGGCCAGAGCGGGCGCTGATCTCGGGTATAATGTCGTGCTGGCTGCCGATGCCATTGGAGATAGAGATATCCCGGGCCTGACGGGGTCGGAAGTCACAGACGCGGTGCTGAAGGAGTTGGGCGATGCTTTTGGCACCGTGGTGCAGAGTGCCGAGGTGAAATGAGGTTGAGGATGATAATGGTGATGGACCTGGGTCAGGGGGTGTGATGGGTGCTCTGCTCTCAGGCCACCAGAGTCATGACAAGTGCTCTGCTCTTTTGTTTGTGCATGCAAAAGAGCCAGGGGATTGACTCTTATGGCTCTTTCTCCTCTGGGTCGAGAGTCTTCCGCCACCAGAGCATAGAGCCGTGGAAGGGAAAGTTTTTAAGATCGAAATCGGGTAGCTGTGCAAAATCTTGGGTCTTTAAGAATGCTTGTGCCATGTCTCTGTCGATTCTGGTATCGTCCTGGCCGTCTTCAACAGTCATTCCATTCGAGTAGAACAGGTGTTCAAGTGACCTGTGCAGCCAGATTTCGGGATCATGGCTCAAGATCCGAAGCTCGACTTCGGGCTCTGCGGCTGGAGAATATACGAACGAGGCCTCGTCGAGAAGATTGAATCCTTGAGGATGGTCCACGCGGGTAATGTGCATGTTGGCCAGGAATGCCGCATCCAGCTCATTGTAGAACGGCTCTTGAGCATAACAAGGCGGCCAATGACCCTGTATTTGTTCGATCGTGTCCGCGACAGTCCTGAAAGCCGCGATCTGGTAATATGCCGACTCGTGCCTGTCGACCCAGTGTATCTCGTCTCCGCAGAAACTCCCGGAGCCGAAAACCACACAGTTTGAGATCTCACGTCTACCTCCGCCTAGGTATCGTCGCAGAATCTCTTTCAGCGACCGACACAGGTCGCTCTCAAGCCAGTTCGCTTCAATTCTGTTGTATTGTGCACGCATCGTGTCCACCGTCGTCCCTTTGACGGGTTTCATGGGCCGTGGTGTCACGCCTGCAGGCTTGAGGACATTTGGGACTTCAAGTCTTCCGTGGAAACCTCCTGTTTGAGAATCCACTGCGGTTGACTTGCGAGGCACTCCGATAACTGAAGTCGTGGATGTGATTCTGGTCCAGCCCTCCTCGTCCACGAACTCTTTTCTTTTCTTATGAACCGGCTTCTTCTTGCGACTTGTGTGTGGCATTGTGATGGCTCGGGTTGCTGGTCTCGTCGGCAGCGGCAGTGTAGGAGGAAGCGTGACTTGATCGCGGAACAGCGTTAGCGAGTGCACATATTCGAGACTGATCGAAGCTGGCGACTATGTATTATGGTCGCAAATGTCGGAGCAGAGTCCCTGCGGATACAACGGATGCATTATAAACAGCCATTTCAGTTGATACGAGATGTCGAGCTGCCACAGCCGACACCATGCGGTGTTCAAGTTGTGCTTGAAGAGTGACTTCAACCATGGAATTTATTTTCGGCCCGATGATTTCCCGACGAGGCTGAGCTAAGCTTGTTCTGTGTCGGCCGAGGCACGATCAGGCTGTCTATCATGTATAGTAGCGTACACTTTCCCATCAAAAGTCACAACTCTGTAGACACACAGACAGACTTGTTACTTAAAGCTGTTAGGGCATGGGCACCTCCCGGCGGATACTAGTAGCAAGATATTGACTACAGGTTCATGCTTTTCAAGAACAAGTGCTTGGAATCCAAGTCTTATTTGTGGCGTACCCCCAAGCGAACGTGGACCTGCCGTGACAATATTCCAAGCACACCGAGATAATGTCCATCTGGTCCATCAAACTCTTGTCACTCGGCAGCCTCAGTTTCGGAGCAATCTTTGGAGCCGCCGCGAAGATGTGAAAGGGGTGTTCTGAAAACAATATGCGGATCTGCCGTTGACAAGCTCGGGAGCCGCTGTCAGTATCTGCACTGCACCCTCCGGCTGTAGATTCGGAAAGCTAGGAGACAAGGAGACGACACGCAGGAGCCATAGTGACTAACGGTCGTTCTGGAGCTCGAGGGAAAGAGAAGAGGTACGGCACGAATGGTGGACGAATGATGTATCGGTGAAGGAAGTTGAACAGTGGGATCCCTGTTGGTGTCAGCGCTTACAGGTGTTCTATCAGTTGCCTGCGACCAATCAGTCGTCTCCATCACCGTGCAGGGTCGACGACAAGTTCAACCCATTGCTTCTTCCATCTCGAATCAGATGTCCCATCACAAGGTCACAACTTCTGCCTCGGGGACAATCCCTGCTCGCATCTGTTCACGCTCGGGTTGCAATGTGCCACTCGACCCTCGGATACTGCATGCACCACTCACAACCCATCTCGCTGCCACTATCCAGCAACATGCCATTCCAGTCACGGCGTCTCCTCCAAGCTTTGGGCGGGCGGCTGGCCGTCTGGCCTTACCATGCAGTGTGAGCTAGTACAGAGGGTGTTTTGTTCGTCGCAGGGCCTAAATAATACGAAATGTACGGTATCCGCTGTCGTCCTCGCCCTTCCTCGTCTGCGGTCCCGTCGTTCAGGCATGCCAGACAGAGTAAGACCACGAGCTGTTCAAACAATCGCAGGCATTGGCAATCCTCGAACAACAAGACTTTGGAGGAAGAAGAAAGATACTTCGGCCAAGCTCTTTCGCAGCTAGTTGTTCAACTATTCGACTGAGCATTCGCCTTCCCGAGCGATCGGAACATACGCACGCAGCGGACATCGCAGACCACCACGTCAGACCGCGTACGAGAACTGCCAACATGCCATCGAGATCCGTCTTCATCGTCCTCTTCTCCTTCCTCAGCCTCGTGTCTGCCCATACAGTCATCACGTATCCCGGTTGGAGAGGGGACAACTTACACTCGAATGGCACCGTGGAAGAGACAACTGGTCTAGGAACATATGCCGATGGAGATGACTATCTCTGGCCGTATGGCATGCAGTGGATGTATCCCTGTACGTAAACAACTTCCATTCATCTTGCAGACCGGAGACATCCATCCACCTCAAGAAACTAACACTTCGTTGCAGGCGGAGGCATGCCGACATCACAGAATCGCACCAAATGGCCTGTTAAAGGTGGTGCTGTCGCGTTCCAACCAGGCTGGTTCCCAGGCCACGGAACGGCGTTCATATACATCAACCTTGGGCTAGGAACCGTCCCACCCAACATGTCATTTGTGATGATCAGTGGGATTCAGTTGATCGGGCCAACCAAGGATCCTTATCCCGGCACCTTTTGTCTGCCACAAGTCCCTATGCCAGCCAACGTCTCGGTAAACGTTGGAGACAATGCGACCATCCAGGTCATCGAGACCGCCGTGCACGGGGCTGCCTTGTACAACTGTGCCGACATCACCTTTGCGGAGCCAGAAGATGTCCCGGAAGTCAATGCCAGCAATTGCTTCAACTCCAGTCAAATCACAAGCGATCTGATCTTCACCACGACTTCGTTGAAGGAGGACTCCGAGTCACCCGCGGTCGAAATGTCCACAAATCGATACGGTTATCTTACTACCGCTCTCGCCGTGCTCTTCGGGCTAATATGGCTGTGAGAGGGCGGCCTCTCCTACAAAGAGGAGGAAAGTAGGTTCGTGTCCAGAGGACAATGGTAGGAGTATCTCGTCATGTGGGCTTCTCGCCAGTCGGCTTGAGGGGAAAGCCATTCGAGGAATTTTTCTTGACTGCGGCGGTCTTCGGATTGACAGCAAATTCAGAGGCAGCTGTGGGAGCGGAACGCTCGATACCCCGACTTTGGTCAACACTCAAGCTCAACAGACTTAAGGGGCGGATGGACTGGCACTGACGTGGTCTTCCATGTCACCGGTCCTTGGGCTCCCAGAGCGCCCTACCGATGTCCAAGCCGGGCGGATGGGAACGACGGAGAACATTGACCTGGCCTCACAGTATGCCACGACCTGCTTCCTCCAGACGTCCTTGACCGTCTTTCTCAAGGTCTGCAGAGGTCCTGCGGTCTAAGTCTGTGCACTCACTCCGCACTTCGTCCGTATCGGCTTCGCCATCGCTGGTATACGGAACCGGCCTTGCTACCTTGGACTGGCCCAGATGACCGAGTTGGGCGGCGGGACCAACAGAAGCTATGATCAGGCTCGAGTACTAAAAAGATCGACACTTATACGGGCAACAGTCGCATACATGAGTATGTTAACACCGTCGGTGCCCAGCTATTCGACTGCATGACTACCATCACAGATGGAACGGCAACCTGGGCCCAGGTGACAGGCGACGGACACGACGTGTCCTCCAATGACGATGTCACCGCTCCTTTACGAGTCCTCGACTGGGCCCCGACTCAGGACATACCAGTTATCAACATTCGTACGTCCGGTCCCTTCTTCCTTGTCCTTATTCTCCTTGGCTGTCCATCACCGAGGCAGTCCAACTCGGTTGTGGTTTCCCTCGGTACCGCCGCCGCAGCTCATCGCCCTTGTATCGACACTGTTATATAGTGTAAAGGGAGGGGCACCAGTTGGTGCAGGGATTAGACTCGGAGCGGGATTCAAGACCGCAGATTGTATGCAGGTTTGTATACATTATGAATTTTACTCCATATCGAGTATACTAATCTGTTCTTGTCGGGCTGTGTGAAGGGAGACTGCAGATGTGAACGAGATCCGCGTAATACAACCATACCATTGAACCCTTACTGTTAGTTTTTCTCCATGTGACTAGCAACACCTATGCTACACTACCCAAGCCAGCTTATATCGACGAAGGACAGTTCCTGTTTTATCTCTCCTCCATTATTCACAGATTGCTTTCCTCGGTCCACACTCTCCAACCAAACCAGTCGACAAAACCACACTCTACAGCCTCGACCCGTGGATGATCTTCATATCGACAATCAACTCACGGCCTCCGTCGTTGATGACCAAGACACGCACGCTGCCACATCCGTCGGCAAAAGCCCGATCGATCTTCTTGAAAAGCCCGCCCTGGTCGACAACAGGCAGGCCGTGCTTAACATCACCGGTCTCGGTCATGCAGACAATGGCACCGTCGTCACGGATGTCCAAGACGCGGTACTGCTTGAAGACCGGGCCGAGCATGGTCTGCACGACGACACTGGGCTGCGGGTTGCTAACGAACGAGCTCTCCTCGTGCAGTTGACGAGTGAATAGGTCGACACCCAGATATCTGTATTGACCGGTCTGGGAAGACATGCTGATCCGAATGACCTGACAAGGCCGTCCTTGGAGAAGGAGGATATCACCAATGCGAATGAAGTGGCATTGGATGGGGACTCCACGGTGGCCGAAACGAGGCTCGACGTAGCGGACCTGTTCCACTCGGCCGTCCTGGACGCGAGACGGGCCTGCAGTCTCACGCTCAGTGATGACTACCTCATCCCGATCGCGATCGTGGTGATGGCTGAAAGGATGAAGGATGCGGTCGGCAGCACGCTCCACTCCACGACGGAAGCTGTGGTAGTTGCCCTCGTCGTCGTAGTAACCCATGTCTCTTTTGATCGGTTGGTCAACTTTGATTTCTTCCTTCTGAACAGTCACCTCGGCTTGTGGACGACGACGTTCGTACTCGACGTCGTAGGTGGGAGATGTGCGGCGGCGGTAGTCTCGCTCGGTGATGTCTAGCTGGGATTCGTAGGCCCGGTCGTATGTTTGGCGTCGGTCGTAGTCAACCTCCACGTGGTCCCTGGTATCTCGGCGGTCGATTTCGATGTCAGCGTTGGCGGCGGATCTGTATTCGGCTGGTGCACGGTACCTGTGGGGAAAGGGAACGTGTCAGTCAACAACGTGTTCGGGACGGGTGTCCAAGCGTCCAACAAGTGGACCACGCATTGGGCATTTAAGCACGGAGCAATCTGGGGTAGATCTCTCTTTCTCTCGCATTGACCACATACTTTTCACGTGTGAGTTCAACCTCCGGATATCCTGTGTCGCGGACTCGGCCACGCTCTTCGGAGATTCGAACCTCTTCCTTAGTGTACTGGTCACGGCGTGGACGGCCGTCTTTGTAGGTGAGGTCGACTTCCTCCTTGGAGAATCGAGTATCTTCCCGTCCGACGTGCGAGGAGGTGCCGGGTAGTTGGACTTCCCCTTCTACCTTGGTGACGGTGGTTTCCTGAGAAGAAGCGTCACTCCTGTACGTAGACGGGAAGACACTGATTGGGATGGGAACTCGGGCGTCAAAGTCCAGATTGCCTGTATTATGGGCGCCTCAACTCTCTAGTACCTTTCGGCAGTCGAGAGTCAAGACTTGAAGGGGTTGAAGGGGTTCGGGGAGAAGGGAGGAGGACGAGGTCCTGGTTGACTGGAAGATGGAAGGGCACAATGCACGCTAGCTGAGCAAGACTTGAACGAGCAGCAACAACGACACGCAAGAACTGTCAAAGCGGTTCGGTCTTGAGGGTCTTGAGGTATGTAGAAACAGGAAGAGAGAAGGAAGAAGAGAAGACGGTACCGCAGGGGCCACGGGCTGGTAGAAGTAGGACAGAGGCCAGGGCGCAGGACGGAACTGTGGAGGTTGGACGGTGGCTGCGAGAATCAGGCATTGAGCCAGTCAGAAACGCAGGCGTTGCGTCTGCCTACAAACACAGCAAAACCACCACAAACACACTCGCCAGTTGGCCGGGCAATTGAACCACCATTGCAACACGCCAGCCGCATGCAGTTTAACTGATTCTTCTATCACCTTGTACTTGTTCTGATCACCCCAGCCTCAATTCCTCACAGCCTCGGGATCTCTCCAGATTGCCGTCCGAGTCAATTACGTGTTGGTTGGTACCATGGTATGAGAGCAGTTTGACATCAGTCACAGCATCGACAGGAACAAGAGGCACCACAGTGGCAGACTACCAAACATCATGATGGTCACCACCACCGCCAATTCCACCCACCACCCAGACCTTCCCTTGCCTCCCTACCTTACGCTGCGGTGCCTCACATGCAAGCCTTGCCGGATCGCTTCAGCTCCCCCGTATGTACGTACTGAGTAATCTGCAATCTGCCAGGCCCGAGAATCGTCGTGTACCACCACCATTGGTCCCGTTTCACCCTGATGCCTGACCAGCGCACCCTCAGATCATCGTCCCTCAAGCTGTTGGGCCCTGTAGCCTAAATCCTGCAGCTACAACACCTCAAAAGCTACGAAGAGGGATGTCAAGAATCGCAAACTACACACTAACGCGTCAATCTGGACGCCTTGCTGACAGGTTCAGCTGGCATGTGGTTAAAGCTATGCTGCTAGATGCATGGGTTTCTTCGGCCTCTTGCAGCACGATCAGAAACTCCTCCATCCACAAACCGGGATTTGTGTGGCGTGGGACATGAACAGAGCTTCTGGCGCGGATATGGACTCGGACTCCAGACGCACGGGGACCATGGTCCATGCATGTGGGTTCTTTTTCTTCCGGTCCGCTACTCATTTTGCGGGGATCATTTTGGACGACTTGCTTTTCTTCAGCTCCCTTTTTGTTCCGCCGACAGTCGAGTTTCAACGCCCTCAGTGTCTATCCCAATCCACGCTACAAGTCCTTTTACGTTGAACATCTCAGGAAAGCCCTTCATACATCGAACACCAATCGGGGGTCGCCTCTAGGTTCTTTCCACCGTCCTCAGGGACGGTCATTCCTTCACCCTGTACCTCGCTATGCTTTGCAGAAGTACGATGGAACTGCGAGAGACAGGATGTTCAAACAAAAACGCTAGTGCCTCTGGACACAGTTCCATTCGTACTGCGAGGGTAGTTAGCGAGAACTCGGGCGAAAGAGGAGAGAAACTAGAAACATACCACTCTGCCGTCTTCATCCCCAGTATACACCACCTGAGGCATTGGTAGAATGCAACTAATCCCGGCACTAACATTGACGCCATCATCTCGACTGTTATCCGCATGATTCAGCTGTCGAATGAGGTCCAACTCGAACCGTCCGTCGCGGATCACTTTGCTCCAGATCCGGACTTGACCTCTCTTATGACCGGTGAAGACGAGGTCTCGTTCAAGCCATTCACTTCCCGCTCCTTCATAGCATGCGCACGAAAGAATGCTTTCCTGTAAGCGATCCCCTGATCCCTGCCGCAACAGTCGATCCCCGTTCAATGTGTATATGCTGATTTCATGCCCATGACAGAGCACGATATTGCCAGTCACATCGTTGATTGCCGCACAGCTCACAGACAGTTCGTCATCGAGCTTGCGAATGAACTCGCATCTGTTAAGGTCCCAGAGCATCACCTGTCCGTCGGTCGATGCTGAAAGCAGGGCGTTGAACGATCTCGACAACGCTAGAACGGTCACCGGTTTGCGATGTCCAAAAAGTGTCGCTCGTGGCTGCAGGTCGACCGATTTGGCGCCCTCGATGACTGACCAGACCGCGACCGTGCAGTCCGTCCCGGCCGTCACCAGCGTCCTCGAATCGGTGAACATGGCATAGGACAATTGTCCAATGTGCAGGTGCTCGAATAGTCCAAGCTGTTTCCGGCTCTCCGTTGAGTAAAATCGGACACTGTTGTCGGAAAACCCCCACTCCATATACATCTCGTATGCGGGAGCAATGTTGAGGCGGAAAGCCCCCGAGCATAGTAACTTGTCCGCTTTCCACGAGAAATTCAACGAGGCTACTCGCTCCCCGGTCTCCAGAAGAGTAGAAGGCACTCGGGTCAGAGACTCTGCAGCAGTGTCAAGGCGTTTATATCGATGTCGGACTTGCTCTCGTGCAGGATGAGGCTTCGCGAAGATTTGGTATGGTGTCTGGCCAAAGTTGTGGATGATTCCAATCGTCGCCAGCCGCTCTAGGGGGTCGGTGATCTTGTCGACATCTTTGGCTCCTTGGTATGAAAGATAATGAAATACGTTTACCGCCTCCACAGCTGCCTCTCCCTTCTGCTTGCTTCCGAAGATCAGGTCGATCCATTGGTGCAGGTGCCGACTCACATAGGGGCTTTCGAGCGCTTCACGCTGTTTCGCGATGAAAATGCGAGGATCTCCCTTCGCCCAAGGCGGGAGCTCTACGTTCCCGATCGATTCAGACGAGTTCTGTCTGGTGCCAAAGTCGAAGTTATTGACGTTGACCAGGAATTCCGGAAGATAGTAGAATTCGGGCGTCAGCTCTCGGACATCGGTCATGTTCATACGAGAGGCTGACTTCCATGCCCCTGCGATGGAGAAGAACATGCGGTCTGGATGATCGAATGTGCCACCCTGCAGCAAAAGATACGATTGGACAAACGGTTGGAGGCGGATCAGGTAGGAAGTTACAATCATGGCCGACGAGTAGTGAGTGCCGTAATGAAAGGCAGGGGTGTTGTTGTCTCCCATCTCCGCGAAGGTGTGGTATCGTTCGCGAAACTCTCTTTCTCGTTCAGCTGTTTGGCAGCCCATGGGCTTGGACAGATCGCGGAAGCTTCTGGGATCGGTGAGATCAAGCTCCTCGCTGGTGTAATCTGCGATGACCCAAGGGAAAACAGGATACTGGGTCAAGTCATTGTACGTCCTCCCGGCCATCGTGTTGATCAGCATAAGGTAATGGAAATTCGACATTTCTCCTTTCTGCCACTTTCGAGTCGCTGCAAAAGAGCTGGATTGTTGGCCGAAGACGTTGGCAAATTTCGAACCAAACGTCTGTGGCTCGTCATCAACGCTCTTCAATGTCTCGTAACGCCAGGCCGTTTCCGGCTGCGTGCTGTTCAGGGCACCCGGGGAGGGGGCTTTTGCACTGATAAGGCTATGCAACTCATTCCGAACTTCGGGCGATTTGACTGTCAATAAGTAGCTTCTGCCGTCGCTGAAGAACATCTCGATGGAAACATCGCGGAAGAGGAATCGTCGCTTGGAGACACTGATAATGTCCATCCATTTCCAGCTCCGAGTCCCGTGCTCATCGTTTCGTGATACGTGCTTGCGGTCGGTGACATCCCGGCCTGAAATCATGCGCACATATGGGTCGCGTTCGTCCTGCGGTGCTTGCCACACATTGACAATTTCCCCATCAGCGCGCTGGAAGAAATTGTCGAGGAGGTAAATATAGTCTTTGCCCAGTATCAGGAGCCCCTCCACAGCCTCAAGCCCGAGGATCCGTGAGATGTTGGCGACATGTTTGACCTGGTCCCCTCGATGCAAGCTCCGCATCACTTTCCTGTTCTTGTCCTCAAAGTCCTCCAATTCCGCGTTTGGATCCTCTACCATCTCGAAGCTGTCATCAACCTCTACACCTTCATTGTTTTGCTCGTCGTTCTCATCATTTCCGTCTTGGCCTCCACCCACGTTCTCCTGGATATCAGGGAACGGCTCAACGCCATTATCTAGGCGCTTAGGGCTGTCAATAACAGGTGTCGTGCTGCCAGGGGTGACGCCTATGGACTCGGCTGATGAGAATTTCGTACTTTTAGTGTCCAGACGCAGGTGTGGCATGTCAGATCCCTTCCGTCTTGGTGACTGGTCATCATCGACCATGGTGAAGTCCTCGTGCAGTCTCATGCGCATCCGATTTCTCCCTTCCGTCTGATCGAGTCGCCATTTCCGAGCTTTGTCAACCTGGAAGAGTCCACCAGGCCTGCTGGTATCCCTCTGCATCCGGTTGAAACTAGACTCAGTGTAGACAAGATCATCCTGCTGATCCTGAAGCAACCTTTGGTGTTTCAGGTATTCTGATGAATAGATGTTCGCCGTCCAGTTCTCAAATGCTATGTCGTGTCGTCGAAACAAGTCGTCACGCTCAGCCTCTTCTCTCGCCCACTGCTTCAGTTTTTGTCGTCGGCGTGATATCCTCAACCGTCCGCTTTCTTCGGTCCTCTTATTTTCGTTGGCAACAAAGGCGTTCCATTGTTTCGAGAGAGTATCAAAGAATAGGGAGTCCAGCTCAGTTCGATGCTCGTCTACCCAGTAGAGGAACGTCTCGTTGTCCAGCTCGACTACCTTCTGGAAGCTAGCAGTCAGGTCCTTCTGTTCGGTTGTTGCAGCCTGTCCAAGAATTGCAGCTGCATCATCAGGTCTTTGAACTAGGATGATTCGCCACAAGTTTGCTGCGGCCTGCCGGACAGCGTCGGTGGACGAGACCAGATTTGCGTAGAGCAGGTAACAGATAAGCTGTAAGTAGTTTGCCTGCGTGTCCTCGGCGGAAAGGAGGACGGTCTGCCAGTAAGTGAGCTTTTGTAGGAACAACAACGAGTCTTTGTCCTGAACCAAAGATAGGCCAAGAAGGACGATCCGAAAGACAACTGCACGAATGATCGCGATTGCTTGCGCACAAAGTCGCACCCCTTTCAATTTGGCAATATCGGGGCGCTGCAAATATTCCAGGACTGATGCTGATAGATCAAGAACCGCATCTGCACCGTTGATAAACCACCCTTCGAAAAGAGCTTCCTCGATATGGCTAAACAAGCGAGCTAGGTTGGTTAGGACTCGGGGCTCAACCAACACTGTTTGGTCCAATGCGATCTGGTTGGATAGCTGCGATATTGTGTTCCTCAGAATCCATGATTCAAAGTAAGACTGATGTTCGACGAATCCAGGCGGAGTCTTCAAAAAGAGACCCAAGCCTGGAAATTCTTTCCTAACAATGATCTGGTCGATGAAGACTGATATGACAATTTCGAGCAAGCTCTGCACGATTGAGTGGCCCTCATTGAGCTCAAGAGTCTTTCCAACAGCAGAGCTCGGACCGGCCCCCGCGGTGGTGCTGGAGCCGCCACTACTCTGATGAGCGTGCTCCCTTGTCACCAACACAAAAGAGGATCCCCTTCGAAGCGCTTTCCCACGAGTTGCCACCGTCGGCGCTTCATCAGCCATCCGTATAATGGGAGGCGCCAGTGAGAGTGGATGAACGACGACGTCACCTCCATCGAAGGTGAGCATTGCATCCCGTGCGTCCAGTTCCGTCCGCGCCTCAACAACATCCGAACCAACTACCACAGGAAAGAGGGCCGCAAGAATATCCTGTACGTACGAGGAGTTTGCAGCATAATCCCGGAAGCTTTGCGACCTTGTGTGAAGATCTGCAAGAAAGTGGACGACCGTATTGAATGTGTCTACATGTTGGCTTGTGACAATGGTTAGTAGTGGGTTCGGTGGTGCCATTGTCGACATCGAAAGTCTTTGAGGTGGTTGATTCAAGTCTTCCAGTGGAGGTGCTAAAGTTGAGGCGGTCTGAAGTCTCGTCGACGAGACGATCGTCTTCAGCCCGCTCTGTAGCATGCTCATGATGACCTCGAAGATTTCGGGATAGACAACAGAAAGCCCTTTCTTAGTAGCGAAGAGATCGATGAAGCCAAATAAGTCGAAATTCCTGTCCAAGTCCAGGTTTCCCACATCAAGGCCAAATAATATTGCGAAACAAGCTGGCCATAACGCGGGAAGGTGCCACCATCTCTTCAAGCGGTAGGCCATGATTGTGAAGCCTGACGTTCTCGAGCTATCCCTGAACTTTTTGACATATGCATCGCCGTGTACTACCAGGAGCCTGGCCAGTATTCTCATCGAAAGCACCACAACTTCTGGAGATGTCTCGGACAGCAAATAGAGGAGCCATTTGTTGGTGACTGTTTTGGCGAATTTCTTGATCATGCCATCGGCATGTGGACGACATAACAGCTCTGAATAGAGACGAAGAACTTCTACCCCGATCTCAAAATGCGACAATGTCGATATTGTTTCCTCTTTTCCAGCCTGTGAGGACCCGCTGGATGATCTTTGTCGTACGTCTCTGCGTGTTGCTTTTCGAGCGTGCAAACCCGCATTGCGCTTGTTCACGGAGAAAGTCACAAGCAGGGCCAAAGATCGCAGAGTCTCCGCAGACAATGACTGAGGCAACAGCACCTTGAACGCAGCCATATACTTAGGCATAATGGCTTTGGCGACAGGCTCCGACTTCAATGCTTCGAGCAGCCGCTTCAGAACTCTCATTCTCGACAATCTTCTCAGGTTGAAACGTTTGTGTTGGCTCTGTTCGGCGAAGACGAGGAATTGATCGAAGTACATTTCCTGGACGGAGATTGAGCCACATCTCCAGATATTGCTGTCCGCTATCAAAACTTTGTAGGCCAGAGGATTGTTGATCACGGAGTTCGACGGCTCTTCGAAGTCATACCCGGTAAAGGACAAGATGGATTTGAACACTCGAAGGCTTAACCCATTCTTATCGAGTCTAGAGGTAGGAATCGCAGCTCCTGCCTTTCCTTCTCCATTAGTCTGTGTAGGACTGGAGAGTTTCTCCTTCAAGAGCATTGCTAGAATGGCGTATCCACCATCTCTTTCCATTACCTCGCTGTTTCTCCAGCTGTATCGTACGGTTTCCAACAAGACATCTATAGCCAGAGCAATATCGTCAGTGGTGCGAGCTCTCTGGACTAATCCAAGGCCGATGGCGCCGCAACCGCCGAGGCGCCAGCTGGCATCATCGAGCGACTGTGGGACTGTCACGGTCGGATTACCCATGAGCATGAAAACACCACGAGCTTGTGTCAATGCATCGTTGATGGAAGGGACTGCACCGTTGATGGCAACAGCATTGGTTCCCGAACGTGTGTAGGCAACCAGGTTCTTAGCCGCCAGTTTCGAGAGCGACTTCACTAATTGGGTCTCATCGATGTTGTTGCGGTCGTCATTGTCCAGAACGGTTCCAGGCGACACATTGATCAAAATCTTGTCTTCCCGAATGAGATTGCTCGCCTTCTGCCTGATGGCTAGAATCAGATCCGAATGCTCTTCTTTCCCCGGGTGCAGCATTTCGTTACGTAGGTTCAGCGCGGCCGACGCCTGGTAGGTCTGAAAGGATCCAAGACAGTCCTGGAAATTACCGTGATACTTCGGTCCTAGGTGGTAGAAAACAGCGATCAGGTCGTCATTCAGCGCATCCTGGTACAGCACCGCAGGCCCCAGTGACCACTTAGATAGACATGTGGTTGCATTTGAGTTGGGAGACAGATCCTGAGGTGTTCCAAAGAATGCCTGGACTTTAGCGACAGATGATCCTCGATCACTCGGAGCCACGGCTGGATAATTGGCTTTCTGCTGTTCCGCAAAGTCTCCATTCACAAAGAGGAAGGCTTTGGAAGACGACATTGTCCTGGGCCTCTTGTGCACCACAGATATGTGATACCACCGCTCTCGCTCGAAAGCCACCGACTTGAACCTCACACTCGGCCTGTTTCCCTGTATGGCTGTTTGAAGGATAAGATGATGCGTATCTTTCTCAAGATATGCTAGCACAAAGCATGTCTGGCTTCGATCGAAGGCGCCAAACAGGGTAGTGTGGACCTGATCATCAAACGCGTCGAATCTAGCCCAAAGACTCAAGGTATAGCCAGAGCTGTCGGTGGGAGGAAAGGGCCTACCAAGAGTGGCCAGCTCGGTCGAAGCATAGCCCTGCTGGGACAGGTCAAACTGGATACTTGGAGGCTGCCGAGCCGATTTGATTGCGTCCAAGAGGAATAACGCTGCGTCGGATGTCACACTTGCCTGTTTGAACATGAAGTGAGCATCATCTAAGCTGGAGATGCCTTCTTGACATAGCACAAGAGCAGCCTCCCTGAATAGAGCTCGTTCGACCGTTGACAGACAGTCCTCAAAAAGAAGGTTGAGGATAGCGGTGAGGGTACCAGCTGTGTGGGCGCTGACAACGTTACGCCGGGATATCGACAGGATCGCGGTGACACTTAGAGGGAGTGCAACCTGTATAACTCCTTGAGGGAGTTTTCCGGTCCTGACAACCATGACCCAGAGTTGAATCACTATGGTGAGCAACTCCGGTACCGCCAATTCGTCAATGTTTGAAGCGACCTTAGCAACAGCGACGCGGGTGGAACTGACGACTGTATCTGAGAGGAGATGTCCATCTTCTGGTTTCAGGGACCTTCCTAGCGAAGTGTAAATGTCGTGAATCATCTCTGTCCCGGCCGCAGTCGCAAAGAGGATCCCAAAGAACTGCTCAATGGCCAACCCTTCCTCAATTTGACGCGACAGGATAAACAGTAACTGTTCAAGTGTGCACAGCAAAGAGTGCCAGCCGCCTGCGTCGACCTTGGTCCTGAAATACTTTTGGTTCCCGTCATGAGTTTCCAACGCTGCACCCAAAACAGCGAACCATTGTGCCAACGTCTGGAGAAGAGACTTTGGATCAGACGACTGGGCTTCTTGTACAGAGTAGACATCTACCAAGGATCGCAGGAGATGAAGCAATGCCTGAAAGCCACCCGCACGCCTGAAACCGCTGCTCGCACCGTGGACTTCATTGTCATCTTTCAAGATGTGCCGCAGCTGTTGGAGAACCGCAGTTTGGTCCAGGCTATCCTGCAGTATTGTATACGAGCCCCGGTCAAGGGATCCCAGGCTCTGAACGAGGGATGCAATGTTATGATCTTGCGGACGAAGCACATCCGCCGTAGAGACAGCGCGTAATCGAGTATTCGCGGCGAGGCCCATCTTGTCAAAACCACCTCTTGTCTCTGGACATCCGCGTCTTGCTTTCCACGGGGCCACATAGGAAGGGAGGCAGAAGAACGACTCGACCGATTGGTTAAGGGGGTAGCATATTCACCGACGGTGATCGCGGGAATGACAGGTCAGCATGGGTGGACGTATATTGTTCCTTCAGCTGCGGACGAAGGATCGGAATTGAGAGCATTTGGTTCCAGGGGAGGGCACTCTGGAGATGTCTTTGGCAACGGGGTAGGAGAGGTCTAGCGAGTGAAGCATGAGGAATGTCGTTAGGATCTATCGTGTTTACTTTGCAGAATTGAGTAACAGTAGTAACAGACACTGCAATGTGCGCTGCAGTGCTTGACTAAAACATGACCTCTACTGCAAAGAGTGTACACAGAGCAAGATGGGATACGCGGAAGCGCGGTGACGTTTAGCCAGTAAACTCTAGTCGGCCCCTTGAGCCCTCTTCGGTACACCTGACTCGTGACTACCAGTGCAAGCACGAGAAAGCACTGGTAGTGAATCAACATCTGCGGTACTAATTCTTGGAGCCTGCGGCGGACTCTGATGAGATATAGGTGCAGTGGTACTCTGTACAACTGCCTGCATTCAGATGACACATCTCTGGTAGTAGTTTAGAGAGTTTCCTATGTGGTGCTTTCTCCGTCATTATTGTACGAGAGCGGATGTAGCCTCTGCAATAAAGCCAGATCTCTATTAGGTGCCTATCACTAGTAATCTGGCGCCCGGACGATATGGGAGCGGACGCAGCGGAGGGTGGCACTTTGACTGCTACTAGTTCCAGACCTGATTGCGGCGCAACCCCAGCCCCCAAGGACCGACCAAGTCATGTGCACGGCAACCTGTGACACGCCATCCGCCCTTCGGCCGCATCATCGCTCTATCTGCCTTATCAACGGCCCTTGGCTCATTCATCTATCCATCCATCCCATCGACAACTCTCCCTCCTTCCTTTCTTCCCATCCCTCTCCATCACCATCACCATCTTCATCTCTATCCATCTCTTGCATACCTCTGCTTGTTTCGTTCTAGCAGTGTTTTCTCCCTTGTTCACCGGAAACTATTCTTTCCGTGGTGATCCTCCATTGTTGTGACCATGAAGTTCCTCGGTCTCTCACTCCTCCCTCTGCTGGCGGCGGGCTCGCCTGTCCTCATCGATACCATCCATAGAGATGCCGCTCCTGTCATCTCCTCTTCTAATGCAAAGGAGATTCCCGACTCGTACATGGTGATCTTCAAGAAGCATGTTACCGAACGGGACGCTGCTGTCCACCAGAGCTGGGTCCAGGAGGCTCACCTGTCTCGGGAGAACAACAAGCAAGAGCTACGGAAACGTAGCCAGACTACACTGTCAGGCGATGACATTGTCTTCGAGGGTCTGAGACATACCTACAACATCCCCGGTGGTTTGTTGGGATATGCTGGCCATTTCGATGAGGATGTCATCGAGCTTGTCCGCAGGCACCCAGATGTGAGTAACCCTGCGTTTCATCACCTTGCTTGGGTGAGACCTGATAAGCACGTATTCTGGTTGCATCGCTAGCTTTGAAGGCTGAAGAACGTGTGCATGCCGTCTGAATACTCGTGCCTTGCTTCATGCTCGTTATCGTGGCCTATCTAGCTTCGACCATGTTTGCTGACGTGTCACAATAGGTTGACTACATCGAACGTGACTCCGAAGTCCACACCATGAAGCAATCCCCCTCTCTTGAGAAGAATGCTCCTTGGGGTCTGGCCCGTATCTCTCACCGAGACTCCCTGAGCTTCGGAGATTTTAACAAATACCTCTACTCTGCGGACGGTGGTGAGGGTGTCGACGCCTACGTTATTGACACTGGTACCAACACTGAACACGTCGACTTCGAAGGTCGCGCCAGCTGGGGCAAGACCATCCCCGCTGGTGATGAAGATGTTGACGGCAATGGTCACGGTACCCACTGCTCTGGCACCATCGCAGGCAAGAAGTTCGGTGTTGCGAAGAAGGCCAACGTCAAGGCTGTTAAGGTCTTGAGATCCAACGGCTCTGGCACCATGTCCGATGTTGTCAAGGGCGTTGAATGGGCCGCAACTGCACACAGCGAGACGGTCAGTGCTGCCAAGAAGGGCAAGAAGAAGGGCTTCAAGGGCAGCGTTGCCAACATGAGCTTGGGCGGTGGCAAGTCAAGAGTGCTTGATCTTGCCGTCAACGCCGCTGTTGATGCTGGTCTCCACTTTGCTGTGGCCGCTGGCAATGACAACGCCGACTCGTGCAACTATTCTCCTGCCGCCGCCGAGAAGGCCGTCACTGTTGGCGCCTCCACCTTGGCTGATGAGCGAGCTTACTTCTCCAACTACGGCACTTGCAACGACATTTTTGCCCCTGGTCTCAATGTTCTTTCGACCTGGATCGGCAGCAAGTATGCCACCAACACCATCTCTGGTACTTCGATGGCCTCTCCTCACATCTGTGGTCTCCTCGCCTACTTTTTGTCTCTTCAACCTGCTAGCGATTCGGCCTATGCCGTGGCCGACATCACCCCTAAGAAGATGAAGGCCAACATGATCTCCATCGCCACCCAGGGCGCTCTTAGCGATGTTCCTGGCGACACTGCCAATATCCTTGCCTGGAACGGCGGTGGCAAGTCCAACTACACTGAGATCCTGGATGATGGCGGCTACACCGTCAACCACAGCTTCTCCGCTGGGGACTACCTCAGTGAGAAGGCATCCGAACTGAAAGCCGAGCTCAAGCAGATCGCGGCTGAACTTGAGTCCCTCATTGAGAAGTCTTGAGGAAAACTTGGGATCTCAGCGAACCATGCACTGTTGCACGTCTGCGAACTGCACGTCCTGTTGACACTGGCCAGGGGCTCTCCGAACCTGGGATGGAGCACATTACTAGTATGCAGGGTCCGATAAGAGCTTGTGTCTGAGGCGATTTGATCGCCATGGAGTGGGGATCGGGGATGGGAGTCGAACGAATGGCTATTGCCTTTATGGGGAAGGGGAGGGGCAGGGGAGTTATTGCTATCTTGTATCCGACCATTCTTGGTCGCGCTCATACACCGTACATCGTATCAATCATGAAGCTCACGTTAGAAATGGTGTAACCCTTCTGCTCCACGTCAATCAGACGTCTCGACGTGCTGAACGTCAACATTTGTGTTTGCCTTATCTCCCGGGCTTGATGCCCTCGAAGCAATTCCCGGATCTTGAAGCCGGAATGCTGTCGTGACTCAGATATCTCCGTGCCTCGGTCCGCGTGGCATCCCGACGGGATTCCTACGGTCCTCTGTATACAAAACACCTGACATTCCAACGCAAACGGTCTGGCAGTGCCAAGTGGTTGTTGCCTGCAACCGAGCATGAGCTAATAATGCAGTGCTCGGGCTATTTGGAGATAAACACTTTGTTACGCGAATCCATATCATTCATTCATTGATAACCCCACTGGGACCTAATAGATTCCTATCAGCGAAAGGACAGTCAGCTCAGCTGTCTGTCGCCGGCGGCTTTCTCCCTCCTGCTGAATAGACATAGATCCGTCGTCGTAATGCTCGGTGTATACAGAAGGACACTGGTCGATATGTAACGAAGGTCTTCACCTTGTGGCGGCGGCCTCCCGATTCGAGGACATCTAAGAGGGAGAGGAAAAGATGGAGAGGCACGGGGCATAGATATATGTGTGTGTGTGACATAGGAGAGAGTCAGAGTGGTAAGCTTTCTTTAGACTCGAGAACGCAATGCACAAACCGAGGTGCGATGGACCATCCTAGTCCATGTACTACCTACCTATACGTGATATTGATCGTACATCATACTTTCTAGACATTCAACATATACACCATCTCATATTACATACTCCTACGTCTCCTCCTACGCTGGCGATGTAACAGCCTCGTGGTCTCATCTCCATCTAGGTGCTCATCATCTGACTCTATGCCATCGTACAACCCCGGCGGCATGGCGCCTTGATCGCCCAACCCTTCACTTTCGTCCAGAATATCGACATGGCGCACGATATGCGGATCAATTTCGTTCCTGAAAGTGAGATCCGACACCGGTTCGCGCCAACCGTATCGGACTTTGGCATGGGCCAGCTCTTCAGCAATCTCCTGGCCAGTTAGCAGGCAACCCCTGTTGCCTAGTCTCTCGACAACAGGCCGCAAAAGCCGCGCCGTGCTCAGACAACTCCCGTCGCGGATGATGGCCGAGTTGCCCCATGCAATGACACAGATCAAAGCGACGAGTTGGATGGCGGGGATGCTGCCGAGGATCGCGGCGGACCATCGCCATTGGACCTGCACCACCTGCGCAGGCACTGGGTACCAGCCGCTGACGGTCAGGCGAGGTCCGTTGGAATCGATCGCGGCGACCGCCTCGATGCTGAACTCCATGACTCGACGGGCAATGACGCCCACATCGGCTGGGCTGTCGGGGCTCCACCACGATTCTGGTGCGTATCGGGAATATTGGTATAGGTCGCCTGGAGTGTAATTGAACCCTGTCCAGCCGATGGCACCAGCAATGATTCGCGCTTCGGTGTCCGGCATCTGGAACGTGTCCGCTGTTTGGCCGTCGTAGAGGTACCGCTCGATACTATGAACAATTGAGATTGTGTTTTCGCAGCGGTAGAAAGACGGCCTGGGAATAGTGCCGCCGTTGGCGCTCTGTAATGCCATCACTTGTGTACAACGGGGACCACATGTTGAGTTGAGAACACCAACATATGTAGTGGCGCCAGGCCCTACGCGGACAACGTCCAGAGTATTCCGCTCACCATTTCTGTCGAGGTAGGTGATATAGCTGTCAGTGCCGTTCCCGCCTTCGAGGACTTCCAAGGATTCGCATGTGGCTGTCGTGGTGATGTTCCGGTGCGAGATCAAGCTCAGATCTGGATTCCAGATGTTCAAGTCTTGAAAGACATAGGTCATCTGCGTCCAATCCTCGTTCGCGTATATTGTGGGCGTGCCTAGCGTTCCGTATCGAGGCACGGTCCCTTGCCCTGGTGGTGTGGCATTCACGAAGGAGTAATCCTGGCCCTGGATGCCATAGGAGTTGGCAGAGCCTAGTTGGGCATCAAACGTGGGATTTTCGGCGCCCCAGATGTCACGGATGAGGGTCAAATTGGCAACGCTGACCTGGCCGAACTTCTCCGCCGGGACTTTCGAGGTGGTGAGGTTGTAAGTCAATCCGAGCAGAGCCACTAGAACCTGCACCAGCACGTTGACCCCAAGCCATAAAGCGCAAAGCCACTGTGTCTTGTTGAGATAGAACCATAGTCGATCCCTAGTCCTGGCAATCCAAAACAGCTTCATTACTTTTCGCAGGCTGTCGCAGTGTATGATCAGATCGAATTCGTCCAGTGGTCGGTACTTCGCCGCCAACATCCTCCACCTCAGCATAAGGGCATATTCTCGAAGAGAACTGGACAGGTTGTTGCCGAGGAAGACGGACAGCAACACTATGAGCGCGTTGAAAGCCTTGATCTGAGCGACTGTCATCCATAGTAGTCGTCCAAAACCAGCCAGGCATGCTGCCAACAGGCCGGAGAGGACCAGGGTGATCAGCCACTGCAAGATCCCCTCAACAAACAGCCTACGTCTTTGGCGGACGGGTTTGAATTCCCTGATGGTATGAGAGACCGTCTCGCTCGTCTGTTTCGAAACCGAATGCCGCCACGGCTCTCGTAGTCGCTTCGGTCTCGAGTAGGAGCGACCGGTCACCTGTGGTGTGATGGTGTCGCCCCATGTTGAGGGCGATTGTGTTGATTCCGACAAGGGGAATAGATGGGACTTTTCCATTTAGCGTCTTCCAGAGACATTATCTTTTCAGACCATCGGAAGACCATGATGGCAGAAGCACGCAGTTCAAATACGAAGGTAGAGAAACTTAACCAAGACTTGTGGCGGCGCCGCTCGACTTCAAGCCTGGGCGGCTTGGGAGTTGAAGCATGGTCAAGGTCCATGATTGATTGACTTGAACAAAAGAAAGGGCTCGTGCCCCTCTGATCCAAGCGGTTCGACCAGCATCTTGACTGGTACGAAGGTAAACCGACGAGATGGAGCGTGGATGGTCCGAGAGTTGAGTTCAGCAGGTTTCAATTGCGGGTGCACTCGCAGTCGCAGGCGCAGTTTGGTGGGGAAAGGATTGTCATTTAAAGCGGCGACAATTATTCCACTGTTAGTTCCTCGTTTAGGCCATTCTTGTTAAAGCGGCGAGGGCGCCGGCTCCCTTTTCCCTTTCTGTCGCTCCCGATGTTGCATCCTCTATAAATATAAAAAGAAAGCAAAATCTCCTCAACCACTCCACCGAACAACTTCTGAGACGCTTTCGTTTTGTGGAGGAGCCTACATGGACCATACACTGTCACCATTCTGTATCTGTAATGACCCAGTCGCACACCACACGGTTCCCTCAGATGTAGGGCCTCTGCAGTCATTTGGTGACCACGACCAAACTCTAGACCGAAAGCTACGGCCCATTATCACTGAACCCTGCGGATCCAGGTGATGGAGCTCCTATGGTGAATGTTGCAAGCTCGAAGTGGGCATAAAGATTCCCCTTTCGAACACGAATCTTCGTGAATGACCTTTATGTGTATCGGATTGCTTACGTGTAGCAGCTGGTACCATTTGTTGCACATTGTTGAAGATGGAAGAGTCCTCCTTGGACGATGGCACTTCTGTAAAGAAGTCGTTGGGCTTGATGTGCAGCCGATGGATCTCAACTCGCCTGCATTCGAGTCTATCGTTTAGTCACCAGCCAAGTCCGCCATGACCTTGATCAAGGCAGGTCTTATATGACCGTCGACATTCCACCTACTTGTTGTGCGTCAGACTAAGTACATTCCAGACAACGACGTCCTCATCTTCGAGCTTCTCGTTCCGTCCGAAGGCATATACCACTCCGACAATACCTTCCTGATCTTACCGTTTCATTAGGGGATCTGACGATTCCGCCGTCGAGGCGATTTCATCCTGGTTGCTTTGAACATGTGCGCGTGACAGTCCTGGAATTTGGTCTTCAGGGGTTGCCACGGCCATTGATCTGGCTGTAGACGGCCATTAACGCGATGCTGTCAGTGGCCACCATCTGCATGTACCTGTGCTACATCATGCCGATAGTTTCCATGTTGCTATGTGGGCGTAGGAAGCCACCGCTGGTCAACTATGGCGTCTCCAGATTCGGCAGAATGATCATCAGCACGTATCCCAATCTCGAACAGGCTACACCACCAGATATGGCTCAATCGACAGCTCTCCTCTACATTTTGATGTGGAAGCAGGGCCATGCATTACTTTCTAACGGAAAGGAGAACGTACAAACCATACAGGGCTCTGGGTCACAGTGGAAGGGACGAGTCTAGAGCGTACCTGCCAATGAAAGACAGTCACAAATCTAGACAGGAAGTGACTTCCGGACGAGAATAGGCCGAATATCGTCCACTTTGTTGGCCTCCAACACACGACTTCACCAAGCTATACCAGTGTCAGCGATTCGTGCAAGAGAACCGGCAATTTTCCTTGAGATATGGCTGAAATGCAGAGGGCACACCCAGCCATCAAAATACGTCGTTTGCTTCTGGCAGATGGACGCGATCTACACTGCGTGTCTGACATATGACAAAACAGGTGCCAGGCTCCGAAAGTCTAAGCAGTGGTGCATGATAAGCTGCCTTGTCTACGATAGATTCGATGAGCCATGACCAAGTTTTTTGCCGATTCTGCTGGTACAACTCCTGGTGGGCGCGCAGACGGGAGATGAAAGGTACCGACCAGGCTCTAGAGGCTCTACAGTGGTGGCAAACCTCTCCAGCAGAGTTCGCTATCACGATTTCCCATGCTGCAGGGTATCAGGACGTTCATGGAGCAATCTCTGGTCGCTCAAAGCGGGCATGAAGCTATTCAAGACCGGACCAGCGGCGCGCAAGTGGCGACAGTACTTTCACAATCTGTGGGCTTTGGCATCCTTGAAGAGGCGTTGACGTGCGACGTGTGGGATATACGATCGATCCGGAGACAGCTCGCGCCGACCCATGAAGCACGACCCAAACCCTAAACCATGGGCAAGGATATTGGGCATGATGAGCATCTTCGTACAAGTTGTGCTGGGTTAACTCCACAAAGCACATTATGTTCACAGCAGCAAAACGGGATTTGTAACAAACAAGTCAGATACAACAGGTCCTAAACGAATGTGGAACGCTTCGAGACACCATGCTCGCCTTGTGCCTCTTTCAGCCAATTTGGCGCGGGCACGACGGCTTAACGGCTCGAAGAGGCTGAAGCAGCTTCCCATTTCTCTCGAGGGGGTTCCCCGGAAAATCAGGGCCGGATGGCATTTCATCACAGTGCCATCTATTTATTGGAAGAATCCCTGTCGCCGAGCCGCTTTCAGTTCCTCCATCCAATCTCCACGATGGGCAACTGGTCCACCGATTGACTTATACTGCAGCCACACATGTTTTCCATATCCATACCTTCCTTCAGGTATTGTCGCAGCCTATCCGTACAGCAGACCTCCGACACCGATGACGCCGGCGAGAAACCTCTTGCCTGTCCTCCACACGTCAATGCGAAGATCGTCGAGTTTTCCTGCACATGCATGATACCAGCACTGGGCGGCCGACCGATCACCATCACGTCTCTACGAAAATAGCCACCATACTCTGGAGGACCACTGCTCCCCCTTGGTCTGAAGAACCAAATGAGTGGCGAACACGTTCCCATCGTCGATTTTAGCCCTCTCGTCTGTCAAAACCACTGTACCTTTGGACGATCCCATGCGTGGTCGCTCTGCTCTCTAGCGGCTGTTCCTCTCCGGCGACTAGCCTTGCACGTTTCCAGTGGACCGTTTCGCTTGCCTCTTACAGCCGTTGTCCTTGCAGCTCGTCATGTCCAAACAGGTAGGTCGGAGGAGCTGGTGGCTTGCTTTGTCTCAATTCAAATCTTGCCTCGTGCTCGTCCTTGTCCCCAGTTGAAGAGCTTTAAGGCCACCTGGTCGCGCTTCAAGTCTTCCCATTATTTCTCACCCTCATCCGTTATCCTCGCCATTGCTATCATTATTGGCTGTGGGGTTAAGGTGCCTAGGTTGACAACTGCGAGTATTATCATTGTGGTCCCTCTGGCATTTCATCCTGGCCTGGATCTCCATTTATTCCCGTCAAAACCACGTCAATGGCCGGTACTATTCCCGGGGAAACGCTGTACGCTCCCGTGGCAGTGTAACCCTTGCTCTTGTTGTTTATGTGGTGGATACCCACTGCTCGCTGGTGGGGGCGAACCCCGGCGAGATAACGTTCCACCGAGAGGCATAGCTGAATATGAAAACGACGTGCATTGTCCTATTGACTCTGTTGGGATGGTCTCAGCCATGGAGAGTCTACGGCCTTGACGGCAAACATATCCTACAACGGCAGGATACCCAGAATGCGAACCTTCCAACGCTGACGACAGAAGCCCCAAGCTCGACGACGAACCAAGCTACCTCTGCGATCAGCCCTTCAAACGGCGATGCCTTGACTTCCATCGACGGCCCAAGGTCGTCGGGGCAGGGACCGTCTCCCACATCGACCGACAAAACCAAGGTCGTAACCTCTGTTTCATCGACTACATCTTCCGCCAATGCGTACAATACGGCCCCAGCCACAGTGGACAAGCATCAAGATAAATTGCCGCTTAATCCAGAGATCAGTCCTGTGTTTGGGACTGCTGGAGTTTTGCTTATCCTTTTGGGCGCCGTGTATGCTTTGATAGGAGTCAAAAGCAAATGGGTCCAGATCTTCCTATCTTCGGGCTTCATTGCCAGTATCGCAACAACAGCTCTAATAGTCTACGTGATGGACCCTCCGGTCAGGGCCGCCATTCAGGGGGGTTACTTTGTGGCGATTGTCATGACAGGAGTCATCTTCGGCGCAGGATCCCTGGTCTTCAAGGAGTTCACTGGGGGCTTTGGCTGTCTCCTGGGAGGGTTCTGCTTCAGTATGTGGCTTCTCACTTTGAGATCAGGTGGACTCGTCAGGAGCTCTGGCGGAAAGGGCGTCTTCATCGGTGTGTTCTGCCTTGCCGCCTGGGCACTGTCGTGGACCCATTATACTCGAACCTATGGATTGATTGTGTTAACATCTTTTGGGGGCGCCACTGCCTTTATGCTTGGTATCGACTGCTTCTCAAGGGCTGGCATGAAGGAGTTCTGGGTCTATATCTTGAGACTCAACGGCGACTTATTTCCGCTGAACACCAACACCTATCCTCAAACGCGAGGCATCCGTGTCGAAATCGCCATCGTTGTTATTGGCACCATCATCGGTCTCTTGTCACAGATCAAACTCTGGAGAGTGATCCGGTCCAACCAAAGGGAAATAGAAGTGATGCACAATGAAGAGGAGCTTCAGAACGACGAAATTGAGACTGCCTTGGGTCGACACCTGCAGCTCCAGAACGAGCGAGAAACGTCCGTGTGGGAACGGCATTACGGTGATAGGCGTCAGAGCCCGCGAAAGACAATGCTATGGCAGCATGCACATCCCGAGAAGCACTATTCACATGTCTCTGTCCTCGCGGTCCCACCAGGAGCATCGTCGCCACCTGATAACCTGGAGATGAATGTCCTTGAGCGGAGAAGTTCTTCATCCTACGGATCAAAGCACAAACGTCAAAACTCGATCACTGCGGAGGTGATTGTGGAGGTGGAGGAGGACTCTGAAGAGGAAGGTGCAAGCGAACAACGGGAAAAACTCGAAGCACTTGAAGAAAGCCAAACTCGCGATGACTGGCATGAGAACAAACAATCCCTTGCTGAAATGAAGGCAATGAGCGACGCCGATGTCGACCACGAAACAACCAGTGATGCTGAACAGAGCGAAGTAGACGGTACCCCAAAGCTCGTGCGACGGCCTCATTCAGCATTTTCTGGTCTCACCAAACGCCTCAGCCCAGGTACCGTTGTTGCTTCGGAGTCGCGAGAACACCTCCTTGCCGTGGAGAGGCCCTACAGCCGAGCGTCGTCTGCAGCGGCGACGCTTGACACGGACAATGAAGAGTTGAATATGCGTATGCTTGATGGTGACGCCGATACCACTACTCCTTGCACATGGCCAGAGATTGTTATATCGCCAGCCACGCCGAGTCGACATATGGTCCGCAAAAGGGATCCAACTAATGGAAAGACTACCAGGGAAGAAGCACACGCATCCTCAAACAGCTCTGAGAAAGCAGCAGACGTATCTCCCGTCGTTCAATCCCGCTCGGTGTCCATTCCCGCAAGTTCGCCCGGTGATACCGGGAGCGGAATGCCCCCGAGCAGAACAACGAAGATGTCCGATGAGGCCGAGAAGGATGAACCTCGATCGCATAGATCAGAGGGCGCCAGCTCTAGTGTCGAGTCTTTGACCCAGGATGCCCTCGCTCAAGTCCCCAGCCAGCTGTCGTCCGTTGTGTTATCGTACCGGACAAACGAATGGGCGAAGCACATTGCTGCTGCAGATGTTCCGATCTATGACGAGCCGGAGACTATCGACGGAGTTGACGAAGAGCCACCGACGCATTTGGCTTCATTTGAAGCGGACGCCAGACACGTCTTGCTTGCGAAAGATCCGAATGTCAAGATACAGGCTGCAGGCAATGCCATGTCTCCAGTCAAAGCTGGTGTTGCCGGCGTTGGCATCGCGTTTGGCCCAGGCATCAAAGGGGGATCTCTTTCCGATCAGGAGAGGCGCAGAGGCGGTGGCCTAATACCATCGCGTTCAGGATCAATGCAGGGTCTGAGAGGCCCCAGCAACAGGAGCAGCCGAAACAGCTTGATTCCCGAGCTGACGACCTCACTGATCACGACACCGATCGACGAGAACTCCCCCACCGAGTTTCCGCATCCAGCATCGAGCAAGCACCGCGCCTCTGCAAGCTTGCCATACACCACACCTTTCCCAAGACGGGCATCGGCTCCTCTTCCGAGCGTGAGCAGAATGCGGCCTGGCACAGCGAAGGGCGGTGTCAGTGCCTACGAGGAATCTATCCAAGAATCGTCACAGGTGGATAGACCAGTGTGCCAATCGAACGGCATACCTGGTGCAAGCTCGGGCCTAGATTTAGGCAGGGGCACCGGCACCAGGCCCGACTCCTACAACTCTCGACAACCGCCGCGCGCAGACAGTGGAAGCGACGTGGACCGACGCCAATCGCTTCTGGCTGAGTGGCGATTGTCACAGCAGTATCGGGCGATGAGCAATGGGCTCACCGGAGCTGCTGCTGAAGCCGGACGAGCACATATGAGGGCCGAAAAGGAGAATCAGAGACTAATGGAGGAATATCAGCGCGTCGTACGGCGAGAGAAACAGTATGCGATAGACCAGGCCATGCGACGGCCACATATGCAGCAGCTGCACCGTGAAGCCATGCGCCGAATGCAGGCGGGCGTCAACCACAAGCTGCGACCATCGAGTGGCTGATCTGGTTGATCGAAATACCCAGCGGTTTTCACCGTCTCGTCCTTTTCTTCCTGCATATATGTATACATGGGTGTGGCGGCGTTCATGTCAGCTCAAGAGTCTGTCCAAAGACAACGAGGAGGTATATAGAGGGCTTGTTGATACATGCGAGGAAGTATCTACGAAAAGCATGGCTCACTCTACCCACGGACTGGATAACGAGATGACCGGTTAGAACATGATACCCCGGAGAACTGGATATACGTGAGTGAATACCTCATATACATACTAGTAACGTGGTGATGGTCACTCAATCAATGCTTGCTGTAACTTCTCCCTCTTATCACTCTCCATGCACCCTTCACAGAGACAAGGAGGGCTAGAAGCTTGAGAGGAAGAGTATCTATCTATCCATTGAATGCCAGCCCCAAAGCTGCTCAGCACACTGCTCTGCGCACGGACCGGTAGGGAACAATCGTGGTGGTTTGACTGACAATCGGCAGTTCTCGAGGATGAATCCCTCCAGATGCGAGTCTGTCGACGAAAGAGGGTGTCTCTATCTCCCGCATTCGGACTCGACCTTCATCTGCCGTCTCGACTTTGGTTATAGCGTGGATAAGGCAACAGGGTCGCTACAGCCCGTGGCTTTCTTGCTTTTCCAGCTATCGCTTAGCCGAGGGCTCCCTTGGCCCCTAGCTGGCTGAACGCCAGTCAGTGTCAGTGTGCCAGCCGTGTCCCCATGCTCCAGTCAGCCGCCGTCCCCTGCCACCCGGGGTCTAAAGGAGTCCTATCTCTGCTATCGCTGACGGCGTCGATTAGCTCAATGGAGTCTCTGGCCCATTTGCTTGAGCGTCTCCCGCGCACTATGGTCCAAACTCAAAGATCCCAGATCAGCTCTCTCAGCTGGCAAACAGCAGCCTTTCACTACTACTTGTAAAACTAACCATGGGAGCATGCGGCGCTGCTGGGATTCGAGACTCGCCTTTATCGTGTCGGCTTGCCCTCAAACGCAGGATTGGGTGACCTTTCCCTTTCCTACTCTTGTGTTGGCGGCGCGGTTTCTTCTCCTTATCACCAAGTGACGGTTGACTACAAACTACGATACCCTTTCTCTGTTTCTCAGGTGAAACTGCTGATCTCCTCGGTCGGGCTGCTTCTTCTCTGGAAGTCCCTTGTTCACAGTTGATTCGACGTTCTTCCGACATGTCGATCTACACAGACTACCCTCCGCCTCCACCACATCAGACGCCTCGTTGACCCGAGCCCAATTCCATCTGGACTCACTGATTTCTCATTCCACCTTACACCGCTCTGAGGCGCACGTTCGCGCCGGCTGTCGAGTCGGGATGACCTCCTTCAAAGCCGAGTCGTGGATCTGGTACACGGCGACCGTTTCCATGATCATTGCACGAATGTATGTGCCCCAGGGGATCTGGTAGAGCCCAATGTTTCGCACGCGGCTAACATGGTCGCTACTAGGGTGGCACGACTTCTGCATTTCAAGTCCGTCCTGCGACTCCAGATTGAGGATGTCCTGATGGTATTCCTGACAGTACGTCTCTCGTCCATCCCCGGGACTGGTTCGTTGGAGATGACTGATTGACCGTGAAACGCAGTGCTTGTATACCATACTCATCGTCTTCCTCAACATTGACCTGGATGTCTCCACGAACCTCATCGATCCCGCCCACCCCGTGGTGTTGACGCCTCACGAGATTTCCGAGCGGACCTGGGGGTCCAAAACCGTCCTTCTGGTCGAGCAGTGTATGTGCGCCGTTCAATGGGGCACCAAGTACTGTCTGCTGCTGTTATACTGGCGACTGACGCAGAACCTGATGCAAAACATGGTCGTCAAAGGCGCGGCGATATATGTCGGGGTCACCTACGTGGTGATGGAAGTCCTCTACTTTGCCTATTGGTGTCGGCCCTTCCACGAATATTGGGCGGTCCCGACCAGTAACCAGCAATGTAGCACGGCGCTACACCACCTCATCCTCAACTTGGTGTTCAACTTGACGAGCGACATCCTGATCATGTCGATTCCGCTACCGCTTCTCCTCAAAGCACACCTGGAACTCAAACGAAAACTGCTCCTTGTGTTCCCCTTTAGTCTGGGCCTGTTCACCATGCTCTGCGCCATCTTGAGCAAGCGATTGAGTTTCACCCACCCCTACAGCTCGCAATGGGTGTTTTGGTATTGTCGCGAAGCCAGCACGGCCATGATCGTCGCCAACATGCCTTATAGCTGGGCTTTGATCCGACGCATCTTCAACCTGAGATCCTTCTTCGGCGACACCACAATGGATCACATGCAAGGCGGTCAGACTCGAGAGCTTCACGGCTACAGTGTCGGCGCCATGACCATGGATAGCCTGCCCATCACACGACATATCAGTGGCGCCAGCATTCAATCGCCGAAGAGGTTCTGGCATGTTCTTCCATCACCTCTCAAGATACACGGCGGCGCCAACGACTCACCCAATCTACATCATACGAAAACATGGGAGGGCGGTGCGGCGGCAACAGATAAAAATAAAGAAGTCAATGTCGAGACCAACCCGGCGTCGAGCAGCAACAGTAGCGCCATGTCCGCCCTTAAGCCGCCGCAGGCTGTGTCTACGGACTGGACGCTGGATCGGCTCTATCCTTTGGATGATGATGATGAGATTTTCGGACACCCTGACGCGACAAGACGACGGTATGAAGGCTGACACGATTCAGTATATGAATTGTGACGCAATGCGCGTGCTATAGTTTCCCGCAGGAAAGGGAATGAAGCCGTCCAATTGTCATGAGCTCAAACATTGCTGGACCGAGGCGACAGCGTTTCCTTGATGCCCCTGATGAACAATATAACGACATACCACACATGCTAGGCACCGTGACCGATCCCTTGCGACGGCAATACCTACCTAGGTACCTCATGTATACCTTATGTGTTGACGAGTCATGACATTTCAACGCTGTTCCCTATCCGGACTCGGCTCTCGAGTCATGCTGGACCAGATTCCAGCCCCTTGGCGCACTAACCGGATTCGGCACTGCCGGAGAATGACGCAGACAGAAGAATTTCTGGCTTTGTCACTCAATCCAATGTCCTCGCTCGCCTTCAACGGACACAGTCATCAAGACAAACAATCGAGTCGACGAAAGAGCTGGCCCATAGTCACTCATTTGTAGCAGAGGTAAGCCTTCCTCAATCACACTTTCTCTCGTCTTCAGAGTCTCTCAGACGTCGCGAAGATAAAGGGGGGGCTATGGCTAACTCCAGCGCAGCGCAACCCGGCCATGCCAGTCGTCGACGGAACGAGTCGCATCTCCACGAGCAACACACCCTAAGCTACATCCAATACCGCGACGACGCACAAGAGCTGTACTGGGCTGAACCTGTCGAACAACACCTTCCTCCTCACCCTCACACCCGTCACGTTCTCCCCGGCCCTGTTCGGCCGCAGCCTCTGGCACCGTCTCAACATGTCGCGACGATCAAACGACGACCGGTCAATCCAATAATCTCCACCACCGATTCCACTTCCTCTTCCTCCTCCTCCTCCTCCTCCTCCTCCTCCTCCTCTCTCCTCCGCCTTCTTTCCCCGAAGATAGCGAAGACCGCCTACTATCTCCTATAATCCCGTCTCCCCTACGAATCCGCAAACCGCGGACCGATCCAGTCGCGCCAGCAATGGCTCCCGCTCCCTCTGCAGCACGATCGGTGCGACTGCTCGTCGCCTCAATCGGCAACCCACCACCCTACCACACGACGCGCCATTCGGCAGGCCACATCCTGCTGAAATCGCTCGCCCAACGACTTCACCTGCCTCCTCTGTCCAAAACCAAAACACTAGGCTCCGGCAGCGTCAGTCGCGGCTCCGACGTCGGCAGACCAGAATACACACTATGGCAGAGCGCAAGCCTGATGAACGTCTCCGGAACGGGGACCATGAAGGCGTGGAAACTGTTCAACGACGACCTCCCGAAAACCCAGTCGGCATTGGACGTCGTGACCGCGCTGGTCGTGCTCCATGACGAACTCGAGTCTCCGACGGCCACGATCAAGCTGCGGCGCGGCGAGTCGAGCCCCCGCGGCCACAACGGCATCAAGTCGATCCAGCAGTCGCTCAAGTCGGCGGGCCAGCTGGTGGCCCTGGGCGACCGGTTCGTCAAGATCGGTATCGGCATTTCGCGGCCCGCCTCCAGGGACAGCCATGATGTGAGTGCCTGGGTCTTGGGCCAGCTGACGCACGTCGAGCGCGCCAAGATAGAGGCCGCGACCGACAGTCTGATTGCCGTGCTTGAGAGTGAGATTGCGAGATTGGAAAGATCTTGATGTCGTTTGACTCACGATCTTTCTGTATTGTGGATACTTGATCTCAGGATGGACTCCCAGCATATCCTGTCGGTCTTGGTTCTTGTTTCTGTTGTGCCCTGCCCTGTTTTGACTCGGCATCGACCATGACTTGGTTGCGGTGACGGCTCTGGCGGTCGACCATTTTGAGTCATGTCATTTCATATTTCGGTATTCTGATGCTGCGACATGTGAGACAGTTTGTTGCTGGTTGCTGGGCGCTGGCTGCTGGCTTCTGGTGGCATCTGCGGATCATTTCTTCAGCGCTCACACCATGGAGTTTCCCTAGACCAGAGATACCTCTATACCTGATACCCCTATTGTGCATCTTCTTGGGCTTTTAGCGATTGGGAGGCGGTGGTGTTGTGGACACTCATAGACGGACTACGATGTGCTGTATAGGGATTGGGTTTCTGACCTTAGATTATACATCTGACTCTGGTCATTGTTCTCTGCGACGGCTTAGGATATACTGTATACCTAGATAGATAGATGACCACGCAGACTGTTCAGGTATTTGTATTTATATTCTATCCTAGCTCTGGCTTTTACTTCTGCTCAGGCTTATGCCTTTGACCCATATGTGAGAGGAAAGGAACAAGGGGGTCCAGGCGAAGAGGAATTTCCATCTTCCAATTCCAGGTCGCGCCATCAGAACGTATCTTATGTACCATTTTCACCTTTCTGCTTCAGTTGCCGCTCCGTTGCTCAGTCACCTATAGATAGGCAGAGTAATCGTAATCTGAAAGACAGCCACAGCCAGTCACGTCGAACATACAGACAAGAATATAAATATACAGACAAATCGGCCTCGAGCATGCCAAAGGTCCAAAGGTATGTGTAATTTATCCCAAATGTGGTGCCATACTCTGGATTTTTCGCCTGATATGGCTGGGCTGCGCTGATGTCTAGCACTGCAGTGACAATGTTAAGGTTGGGCCCCATGATGGTCGACAGAACGTGAGCTGTTAAGGCCTGGGATGGGTGGCATCGTTATGGTGTTGGTCAAGAGTAGACTGCATTTCGAGTCGCTCAGATGTTGAAATGAGCGTGGTGATGTCAAGCGGGCTGGTATGAACGACTTGGGGATCGTGACGATGGAAGGCTTCCGGCCATCCTATTTGTCTTGGTCGAGCTACTTGGGAGGTGGTCTTTGGGGACCCATAGGCCGAAGGATCCCAGCGACATCATAGTGACCTCGACCCAAGTTCATCGGAGACTCCATGGCGAGATATAAGAATGGTAATTGTGGTAACGAAGGCGAACGCGAGTGAGTTTTTAGGAAAACGGTGGAAGTTCGACCCAGGCGGGCTCTTCAGGCTTCAAAAGCAATGGCTGATATAGCCGGAGAACATAGACAGCCACAGGAAGTCTAGAAGGATGCTCTTTCTCAACTGAAGAGGATGAATGGCCGGCCCTTTATACAGGCATAGCATCAGACTTCTTGGTATACGAGGGCTGAATGAGGTTGGAGGGCGTCTTGCATGGTGAACACCAGGTTCAGGCACACCGTCTTACCTCATGATTGAACTGAAAAGAGCCATTCCTGTTCTTGGAAAGGATCAGTGTCTCTGCTCCTGCATCCGGCTGTCAAAAGATGGGGTGACCGTCTAGCTTTTCCGGTAGCGGCAGGCCGGCAATCAGAGTGAGGTACCACGGCGTATATGTTGAACACAGAGCAACCGAAAGGATATCTGGTCCACCTTACCGTAGTTTCGGCTGCCCACAATAATGCGATGCAGCATGAATGTAGATTGGAAAAGCCAATGCATGAAAGAATCACTACTCCGGCCAATGCAGGCAGGCAAGCGGATTGAGTCAGAACCGACATGTCGGTGTCGTGTTGATGGGATGTCATCGACTGCGGTGTCCCGAATCCTGTGCCATCTTTTTGCATGCTAAAGACGCTATACACCGGCTCCGTGCGTAACTCGCAGCTCTGCGGCGTCCTGGTAATACAGTAGTGCCTGAGAAGCGTTGAGGAAAGATTCGGTGTATGGATCCGCTCTTGCTTGTGAGATCTGTTTGCCTGTGTACTGTGTGAACGGATATCTGGAGGAAGGAAGGAAGGAAGATGTTGAGGTCCGGAAAAGCGGTGAGCAGGCTGGCAGGCGCCAATCCGAGAACCCCGACTCGCATCGTCAATCGCTCTTCCGTTTTCCACGCGTAGTTGCATACGATCTAATGCCGCTTGGGTCTCGACGAGACCCCTGGTTGGCAAGACGGGTTGCTGACGGTTTCACATCAGAAGAATTGAGATCAGGCCTATCATCCGCTGCTGAGAAGAGGATCGAGGAGATGAAGTAGGACAGAGATCGAAGCTGCCCAAGATCGTTCCCTATTGAATGGCGGAAGTTGCCCTTGGGGCCCTGAGCCAGACCGATTGCCTCCAAAGCCTTCTCAAGCTGGAGCTGGAACGTGAGTCAAGTAGCAAGAAGCGTGAGGTTGCCGCGGTAGAGAAAGAACCTAAAGGATCAAGGGGGCTCCCCGTACGATTGATTAGTGGCGCTCGTATAGGTAGGTACCTGCCTGAGTAGTGAAACTAGGTAGCGACGCAGGACGTTCTTTCTCTTGGATAGACAGACGTACATTCCGTATGTACAGAAGGTAGTAGAGGGTTGTACAGAGTAATGTGTCGATCGAAACAATGGAGCCATATACCTCAAATTGGCACGCAATGGCTCAGGCTGCGCCGTGAATTCGGACCAGGGATTGATATTTTGTCAGTCGCAAATACTGTCTTGGAAACTTTCGATAGCCAGGCTAAATTATGAACCAGGTTTGCTGTCAGACAACAGACATATTTCTCATTTCTGTTCTCCTCCAAGTGTGGTGAGATCCATTGCCCACGACACTACAATCCCACTGTCCATACTGCACGACTCCCTATACCTACTCGGTTGGTGATAGCCCTCCGACATTATGGCGGTCAGATGCCACGCCTGCCTCCAGCCTTGATCCGTGAGGCTGCCCTTCAGAACCACCTCCTGCCTCTCCTACTTCGCGCATGCCGCGATCTTCCCTCCGCTCGAAATGAATTCCGATGGCTACAGGAACATGCGCGTGACACTGTCCATGCGAAGACACGTAAGAGACACAAGGCCTTGCCGGAAGATGCCTTGATCCATCTGAAATCCCCACGACACGGAGAGGAGAAGTCTCAATGCCCCCAACGGAAGGATTCTTCTGTGAAATCAAAGGCCGACAGGCTTGAGAAAACATCCGTCGCAGTCGATGCCAACAGCCGGCGAAGCTTGTTCAGGAGAAGGGTTTTCGTTCATCGAGGCCATAGGAACAGCGTCGTTAGCCATACCTCAGGTCGTGGATTGCGAGATGCATTTCAAGAACAATATACTGCTCGATCGCACGCCCAAAGCCTTTTGGCCAAGTTCATTGCGAGAAGAGCCAGGGGTGTGCCATTGCAGTATATCCTTGGCAATCAACCTTTCGGCAATCTGGAGATACTGACTCGGAAAGGGGTGCTCATTCCCAGGTCTGACACCGAGACATACAGCCAACATGTAGCGAAACTGCTGCTTTCCTGGCTGCACACTGCTACCTTCGCGAGCCATACCCGGCTTCCGGGACGCAGGAAGCTAAGGATTCTTGATCTATGCTCAGGAACTGGCTGTATAGCACTCCTTCTACATTCTGTTCTCAAACCGCCCAACTTGGACTCGAACATCGATCTGGAAATACTCGGCGCCGATATAAGCATGGATGCAAATCTACTTAGTAGGAGAAACTTGCAGCATAACATCGCCGAGGGGCTGCTTCATCCGGACGCTGCTCAAGATGTTTCGTTTCAGCAGATGGACATCCTTCGTTTGGCAAGATCGAATAGATCTAAGACGCGTCGACTCTTCAATCACGGCAGTCCCTCCGCTCATCAGGACGCGGCATTGGACGATACGTGGGATGTCATCGTCTCGAACCCTCCATACATCTCTCCAAAAGACTACAGGCCCGGCGGCCAAACCAACTCAAGCGTGCGTAAGTATGAGCCCAAATTGGCGCTCGTTCCACCAGTTTCTGGCTCCTCTGGGGACGCAAACCCTGCCGTCGACCCAGGCGACTTGTTCTACGGACCTTTGATCGATTTGATGAGCAGCGTTGGTGCGAAGCTTCTGGTCATGGAAGTCGGCGACTCGCAGCAAGCTGGGCGCGTGCATGAGATTGCTATGGAGAAATTCAAAAATCGCGACGATGATGTGAGGTTCGAAAGGTGGAAGGATGATGGGACGGAAAGGTTGCTGTCTACCTCGCGAGCTTCCCATCAGGGGCTCACCGATGGACTCGCTGCAGAAGGGACCCAAGCAGCCTCAGCTACGACAGACAGCCACGCCTCCGATCGGGCCGTCGTCGTCTGGGCAAGGGAGCTGGCAGAGTGGCGGATGTCTGTCAGATGGGATGGACGAGTCTAACCCCCAACGACCAGAGCGAAAATCGGGCAGACAGTCAACGCTTCAAACTAAGTAGCCCAAGCATTACGGATGCCGAGGACGACAGTTACAGACATCCCTGCCAGGAGGGTTTCTCGCGAAGAGCACGCGTGCCATTCAACAAGGCTTCCGTCCAAAGAAGTATCATACGCTTGTGGCATCTATAGTGTTCATATGGTTCCATTTTCGATCTGTCCATGATACCGGACTCTCGAACAAGTCTTACCACCATGCCACGAGAACAATATATGCGGCTTTTTGAGCGCCAAACGCCATCGCTGTACCTTTTGCCATCCGTACCTACCTATGTTTCCCAATTGCTTGTCCAGTTTCGGCCCAACTCCTTGAGGGTTGCATTTTTCCCGCACAAAACCAGTTCTTTTCCCGTAGATTCGTTCCACGCCATGCCAGATCATGTCGTTGCCCCTTTCTTTTCCGTTGTTTTCCCCACGCTCGTTGACTTCGTAGCAGAAGGAACTTTTCCCAATATCATGCATGGTACGCAGGACGCCCTATCCCGCAACGCTTACATCCTCCATGGAATTGCATTGCCCAGGGGCTTTTTCTTCTTTCGCTTGACGCAACATCGAGCAACCCAACCGAACGTAGCTTTGTTTCTTTTTGGCTCTTCGTCACGTTTTGTAAGACTCATCTCCGTGCCCACCAAATCAGTGCGACGCTAAACAGACAAGCCGAACCCTCCCAATCCAACATGCAACGACATGCAAACAATGTTCCACCCAGTCAAACCCCATATACTTGGCTGCGCCGCATATGCCACGATTACCCAACGCAGCACAACGCGCCCAGAAGTTGCCCAGCCAGTATTGGTTCGTGGGTACGTTCATTCAGTCCGTCCGTCCGTCCGTTTTTGTTTTTTCTCGTTTCTCATTTCATTCCATTCCATTCATTCGTAGTGTCTGTCCCAGTCCCTCTGTTCAGCCACCGGGTTTCCGCCCATAGACGATATTCATACGATGGATGGCATGGACTCTAGGGTTCCTGATCTCGGCACGGACATTGGCGCAAAGCACCCTCACCTCATCGGCCGACCAGCCCAACACGGAAGTCAGCAGTCTCAAAGTCCAGTTCTCGAGGCCGGTCTCGACATGCGCACGGGACCACTGGCCCAGATCCTTGAGCGCGGGATCGCGCGCCCACGGCCCGATGGGCCACTTGAAGCGATGTTCCGTGACGTCCTCGAAGCCGGCGTCGACCATGTGCTGCCTCATGCCGTCGAGGACCTGCAGCTCGCGGTTCAGCTTGCAGTGACACTCCGGGCCGACTCGGTTCCAGGCGGCGATGCCGCCGTCCGGCAGCAGACTGTTGTCGTCGCTGGAGAACTGCGCCGAGTACTCCGCCTGCTCAAGGTAGCCGCCGGGTTTGAGGCAGCGCAGGCACTGCGCGTACAGGGCGGGCCAGTCGGTGATGGTGCCGTGCAGGCCGCGGATGTGGATCAGGTCGAACTGCGATTCGGAAAAGGTCCATTCCGACTCCATGTCGTCGATCTCGAAGCGCACGTTGGGCGGAATCCAGGTCGGCTGGATCGGCGACAGGTCCGTGCCAATCACCAGCGCCGACGGGAACATGTCGGCCACGTCGATCGCCCAGGCGCCCGTGCCGGTGCCGAGATCGAGGATCTGTTCGGGCGCAGGGCTGATCGGGGCGAGAAATAGTCGCCCGTTGAGCGTCTTCATGTATAGGTTGTGTCCGATGTCTAGGTGTTCGTTGGCTTCTTCGTCGTTGGAGCCCCTGTTGGATCAGAAAAGGAAAAGGTGAGTGATTGCTTTGAGTGGTCTGATCTGGGATGGAGGAAGCATAGCTAAGGATCAACCACGATGGGGTTGCAGGGCAAGGGGTGGGATGTCGAATACGTCTGTAGCTGACGAGGGATGTGAGGTACTAGTATTTGGAGCGGTATATGGTGGGTTGAACGAGGTGGGATCGAATGAAGAAGATGTGGGCTCGCGTGGATGGAATGGAATGGACTGAAATGAAATGTTCGGGTTGGAACTCACCAGTATTTGCCGTCTTTGAAGGAGTGATATGTCCGTCCATTCTCGATGCGGTAGTCTCTTATCCACGACGAAATGGACGTGGTTTCTGTGATTCTGCAGGACAATCGTGTCAGTCCGCGTTTTGAGGCCTCGGACTCTCATAAGAGAGAGACACGCGTCTTACTTCTGACGAGGCAGGACGAAGGCTGCTACTTACGCGTCATCGCCATATGCAGAGTCATTCGAGTCGATGTCCTACAAGAGAGGATGTTCTGTCAACCACATAGGTCCCTTCAAAGCGAGCGCGGTGAGACGTGACGTGCGCGCGGGCTTTCCTTACAGTATCAGGCGCGATATGACTCCCATGGTCACTCCCGGCTTGTGTGGCGGAATCACCGTGAGCTTCGTCCTCGTCCTGATACATGATACCCGTACGCTGTCGCTGTGGCTAGCTGTCGCTGGGCGAGCGTGCGTGCGCTGACGCGTATCTGTAGTCGAAGTCGCCGTATGGACTCCTGCTGACTCCTGCCCTTTTTCGCCCCTCCTGTAACTTTATCTCAGCAGAAGGCGATAGAGAAAAGTTTCGACGGACAGGATGAGACGACCAGGAGAGCAGAAGTCGGGGAGCTATGGAGAAGGATGACGTTCGTGGGAGCTCCGCGACTGATGAGAATGGATCAGTTGATGAGAATGGATGGACGAGCCAAATATAAGATGAGATAATAATAAAATCGAGTGGACAAGGCTCGTCCGGTGGCCCCCGCTCTCTTTCTTCCCTGTGGGATTTGTGTCTCGCGCCCGTCCTGGTCCTTACCGCTCCCCCCGTTCGATGGATCCTAGGACTCAAAGATCGGTGGACAACGATTTGCGACGGTCAACGGGCCGCACCGGGGTTCTCTTCTTTCGAATCATCTTCCAACCAAAGGAGTCCCTCTGTCCCGTCTTCGGAGGCCTAGGGACACAGCAGGGAGTAGAGTGAGATAGGTATCAATCGTATCGTAGACCCCATAATCATTATTGTCTGGTAAGCGACTGGATTTCCAACACGATCGGTGGGGGCTGCGATGCAATGTGTAAACTGTACAGCAGAGCTATGTGAGCACCTCTTCGCTGGCAATGGCAATGGCAATGGCCATTTTGCTCTTCTCTTTCTCTACTCTTCCAAGTCAGGCAACCGTCAGGTCCATATCTCGCTTGCCGGATTTGGAAGATGCTCAGTTTTTCTCTCTGGGGCCGCGTCTGGGACCTGCGGATGTTTTGCTTGTCTGGGTGCAAGCGTCGACTTGGTGGCTGATCCGGCTCCGTTGTCGGCCGCCTGTTTCGTACTAGAGAGCGGAAGACTGCGGGAGGAGTGCATTGGACTTGAGACACGTGGTGTGTGGATTGCAGACAACGACAATAGATTTGGCGAAGCTGTAGTGGATAGAGAAGGCCTTAAGGCTCTTGGGCGGTCGATGGGCCAGACTCTTCGGACGGTGGCGTCGCAGCCTGAGGGTTACTGAGGTATATTTGTACTGGAGACCAGAGGACGGAAAAGAGGAATGGACAAATGAGAGATGGCGTATATCTTGTCAAGGAGAAGGAGTAGGAGGGTGGGTTTCACCTTGGTGACCCTCTTAAAGAATTCAAGAGGGTGATACGAAATTCATCAAGTAGAGTGGGTGCTTTGTATTGAGACCCGAGCAATCCAATCCTGTACATTTGCTCGCAGATGCAGCTATTGTCTCGATCTACTAGTTCTCTTGCTTACCCTCCAACACCATTCCATTCACACCGGCTTGTTGACTATGCTTCCAACACGAACTTCGCACCGTCTACCGCCTTCGCCATCATCTCATGGGCCAGACCTAAACTCGGAAAGACGTGGAAGTAATGAGGCAGACCTTCATAGTGGTCAAGCCTGCTTTTGATACCGCTCTCCTTGAGTCTGTGGTCGAGCAGAATCCCATCATCCCGAGCACAGTCCTTCTCCGCGGTGACGATGTAACAAGGAGGGAATTTGGACAGATCGTCCGCAAGAAGCGGAAAGTGTCGAGGATTGTTGAAGTCGATGTCGTAGTGTGCTGGAGACAGTCAGTGGCCGAACAACAGACGAGGTGGTGGTGCAACGCCAAAGGCAAGACGCAAGGGAGTGATGGTTGCAAGAGCGAGAGCGACAAATGTCCCACTTACACCAGATGAACTTGGCCAACTCGAGGCCAAAGACCGGCACGCCACTGTTCCCATTGTCTTCCCACGATGTGTACATGTGCTTGTATTTTCCCTGGTACTCCCAATTCAGAATGACCGGGCAGAGAAGCACACATCCCGTCACCGACGTATAGTCGCCCTCGCACATGAAGCGGTACACGATCTGGGTCGCGAGAAAAGCACCCGCCGAGCCGCCACAGAGAATGGTCTTTGACGGATCATGGCCGAGTCCTTTGGCTCGATCACGACACTGCTCACAAGTCAGAGGGAGGGCTCAACAGAAACAGCCCGAAGGAAAGACAAGATGAGACTGGCACTAACCCACGGCACAGACAGCGCTCCGACCTCGATGATGCCGTCTATCTTCACCCGTGGAGCCTTGGGGTAATTGACGCTGATCACCAAGCAGGGCACTTTGGCCGCGAAGATGCGACAGTGCGCGTCCTCCGTGTCCAGGTTGCCTGCAATGTATCCTCCGCCGTGGAAATAGATCATCAGCGGCAACCGCTTTTCCGACGCGGGCTGGTAGATCCGCACGGCCAGATCGCCATGTTCACTGTCTGTCTTTTCGTCCCCTGGCGGCGCGATGCGGTCCGTCAGCACCATGCGCAGTGGCATATCATTCATTCCTTAAGGGAAGCAACAGACTGCATCGTCGCCGACCATGTCCTCTCGAACGCGCTTGAACTTACACACCGTCAATTCCTCCGGTAATGGAGGCCATGCCTTTGCTAACCCGGCGAAGACCGCATCGTAGGTAGGCACGTCGACCGAGAAATCGCCCGTCATCACATACCGCCCTCCGCTGGCATCTTCAAGCTGTGCTTCATTGTCACTATCCATGCATATTCAGTCACAGTGGGAGAAGGGTCTTTCAAGTGCACTGCACCCCTGATCCGAGCGTCTCGAGATTCGGACCCAGTCCCAATCAATGGCGGTGTCTGCCGCACGGGAAGTCTAACTTACTGCCAGCCATTCGGGTCGATATCCTTCTCGAGGCCATTTCTTGCTGTCACTCTTGTCACTGTCTGTCGCCATGTCCGCGCATAAACCCAAACCCGATGCTAAAACGAGAACCTCGAGAACACTTCATGGACTAACGATAATGCGGGGGTACTCAAGGAGCTATAGTAAGTGGGCTGATCATACTGAAGGAGTTCTGCGCAAATGGCCGGCGGGAAACAAACAGTGCAAACATCGCTCTCTTATCACCATCACCATCACAGTACAGCAGCAGTCAGGAACATCAAGGTACTACCAGTAGTTTCCTACCAAAAAAAATGTCATTAGGCCGACATAATATCGTGTTCTTGGAATAGAAAAGACCATAGAGAATATCGAATTTGAGCAGAATCTGGAGTCAAACGAAGTATTCGCATAACACATCCGCCACCAGTTATGCCTTCAAAGCGAACTGCTTGAGGTAATGATAGTCGTCCATGTTCTGGTCAACCGTCTCTCTGATCACTTTGGCTGCTTGCTTGCCATATTTCTTCTCCCATTCGGCGTCCCACTCGGCTTCGGATTTGGCGGCCCTCTTCTATCTCGAGTCAGCAATATTACATACCCGGTCGCGAGGACAGTAGCCTACATGAGCCCTTGGCTTGAGATCCTTGGAGTCGATGGCATCTTCATGGAAGCCTTTCCACTTCTCAAACGCGGCTTTGGCACGCTTCTGGTCCTCTTCATTGTCCCAATTCAGCATGTCTTGAGTGAACTCAAGCCCGACACTCTTGCAGTAGATCTTCAAGACGCCCTCCGGGTCGTCTAGCAGGTCGTCGGCATCAACAACACAGGTCTCAGGTTTACCCACGTCCCCATTGGCGACCCCATTGGCTTGGCCGGCGACTTGATGTCCGACCAACCCAGCTTCTCGAGTAAAGTCGAAGAATCGACGAAGCTCGTCATATCCAGCTTCACTGGGGTAGAAATCATGAAATCCAGTCATGTCGTCCAAAGGAGGAATGGTGCAACGGTAGTATGAGGGGACGCTGGAGTGAGGATCGCGGATGAGGAAGGTAAAATGGAATGTCTCCAGTAACGCTTTCGGAACCACGGTAGGGTTCCCCGGTTCGCCATCGGTCGCATACGGATATGGAGGCATCTTGACCGCATCATGTTGTCCATTGGCTCCGTTGACTCCGTTGGGGATGTTGGCCGATTCAGTACCGATGCCACGTTTCTTCGTGATCAAGGACGGTGCAATTCGGGCGGGTTGACGATCGGGAGGCACCAGATAGTAAATGATGTCCTTGATGAAGAGACGTTTCCCCTAGAGCGCGTAAGCACGGAACACGCAATCCTGTAATGATGCCCGCATAAAAGCAAGACTTCCTCAGCGGCATCACACCTCGGATCCTTCACGATCTATATGATCGAAGATTGTCTTGTAGGTGGAATCACTAAATCCCGAGGCCTTCCTTGCCTCTTCATCGGCCTCAAAGCGAGGACTCATTCTTTCCGGGCTGAGAAGTCGTCAGACATCGTCCCGCGCATCACATCTCCGGCTTACCCGTAATAGAAGGCATCACCAAAGGGTTCATGGACACAGGCCAAATCTTTCCTGGTCATGAAAACCTTGATTGTGTCAGCGCTCAGGTTTCGAGGAACGGCAAGGTGACTCGAACACGTTCAAAAGCAGTGCTGCACGCTCGAGGGTGCGTGGCACAGAAGATGGGTTTGGCCATGACAGGCAACTCGGCCTCTCTCCTCGACAATGCTACAAGTCAATGGAGAGGTCAAATCAACTGGCCGAAATAATCCAAGCCTGAAAAAAGAAGGTCAAGGTTGTATAAACCAGGTTCGAGATAGCCCCTTTCGGTCAGCTATAACGATATCACGACGACGATTTCGCAGTCTGTCTGATCCAGAAGAGGCGAGATCTGAGATCTCGGGGAAATAGAGATTTACTTATTACACGCCAGAAGAAATCTGGGGCCTGGGAGCTGCTGGAGATACAACCAGGGCCTGCTGGTCTGGACGCCGAGCAGGGACGAATAAAGATGAAGCCATGAAAAATTCGTCATGTTTCTTTTTGCCATGATGTCGAGCAGCAGCTATGACGACGAGAGCCTTTGGGCGATTCGCCGAACGATGCTGGCCGCCCCGCATGCTGTTGAGGAATCAGGATGGAGGTTTGTGTTGGTTCCTCGGCCGCATCTGTCATCCACGGCAGGAGAGTCTCCAGGGCGTCGAAGGGGAATCCCACTTTTCCAGGGACCTGTGGGAGACGCGGACGGGAGGATGGTTGTTTGACGTGAGGGTGTCAGCAGAAAAGGGGATTTATCATTTGTGACCAAGGGGAGCAGCGACGACAATGTGGGGGAAACCGAGCGAAGGATTGGTAAAAATAGATGAATGCTGGTTGGATCGAGCCATTGAAGGGAATAAATTCTCTTTATACAGAGGAATAACATAACTTGAATGGCTTCAGCCGCAGGCGCAGTCTACAGGTACCTTAAGCAGGCGCCGCAGAGCTCCTTAGGCCAAGCAGACCAGCGCAGGCTCAAGCCCAACAATTCAACCACGTCGCCGAGGTGGATTCGTGCCCGTGGTCGGTGTCTCCCTCTCTCTCCTCTCTGCGTATGCTGCCCGAGTGGTACGATTCGAGCCAACAGTCCTACCGTTCCAAGCATTGATTCCACCTGATCCTGCCACTACGACACCTTGGGACCTCTAGTACTAGTAATCTAATCAACAAGCGTCATCTTTCATCAAAGCCTGTTGGCGATCACTCTCGTTAGGTGCCAACTGCAAACCTGCTATAGGACCATTGATACAGTTGGCAGGCTCCCAGAACTCAACCCTCACTCTCCCACCCGCTCTCACGCATACGTTCGGTTGCTCCCTCGAATCCTCTTTCGAATTTAACTGAACGTCTCCTCCTCGATCCTGAACGCCCGACCGCGATCATGTTTTCCAGGTGGGCCTCTCAGGCCCCCTCGACACCGTTGCCTGGTTTGAAAGCCTTACACCCATACTTTCCGGTAGAGACTGAACTGGTGAACTTCATTGCCAATGACATGACCCTTTTCCAACTGCTGGCTGCATTTGGCTCAGGCTGTGCTGTCATTTTGTCTGCGGCGTGGCTTCTCGCCTCAAATGTCTCGCCGCGGTTGAAGACCAGGGACAAATTCGTGGTGCTATGGTTTTGCTTGAGTAAGGAAGAGAAAGACACACTTGTGGGAGAAGGGACTGACGATGGGAAGCTGGTGCTATCCACCTCTTCTTTGAAGGCTACTTTGCGTACAATCATACACGGATGGGAAGTGCACAAGACTTGTTTGGACAACTGTGGAAAGAATACGCTTTGTCGGACTCCCGCTACCTGACCTCTGACCCTTTCGTCCTATGTATGGAAACGATCACTGCGGTATGGATTTCAAGACCCAAGATGCGCCTCTCGGCATACTGACTGCAAGACAGCTCTTCTGGGGTCCTCTTTCCTTTGTCATGGTCTACTTCATCATCACCAGCCATCCTCTCCGATATCCTCTGCAGGCTGTCGTCTCTTTAGGCCAGATGTATGGGGATGTTCTTTACTATGCCACGTGCATGTTTGACCACTACTACAAGAGCCAGACCTATTGTCGACCCGAAGCATACTATTTCTGGTTTTATTTCTTCTTTATGAACTTCATTTGGATCGTTATACCCGGAGGTGAGTATGCGGCCGCCATTGTTGCGGCAACCCGGCTAACGCTGGCAGCACTCCTATCGGAAAGCCTCACCACCACGGCACGGGCGTTCAAGGCACTGGATCGCATATCACACTCGGTGCAAGGGAACGGGTCCTTGAGCAAACCTAAGGCGACTGCGAATGGTGACATCAAGCGTGCATGAGACTGCACAGACCGCGATTGTGGGACGAACGAAGCAAGGGGTGAGCGGGCAACTGAAAGAACTAAGATTGTTATGTTCGTCGAGTACGAGGCGCTACTCAGCTCTCTACTTAGGTATCCTTGCTGGATGTGCTTGCACCCCAGGCGTAGATACCCTAATACCCTAGGAGCTACAATGCCTCTGAAGCGACAATCGATTGTAAAGAGTAGCCGCCAGCCAGCCAGTCAGCCGGTTCAGCAATGAGTTGGTCTGTTTATCACTCGATATGATTATTGTTGTGGACCAAGCCTGAATTCTGGACTTGGAGTTGGCGGACTGTGGCTGGGTTCAAGTTTGGGGCTAGGGGGCCATGATGGTTGCCCGGTAAACGCGCAGCTCCACCACAGAAGCGATCGGATGCCTGCAACTTGAAGGTTGACGCAACTGTAGGTATGTTGCGTGGCCGCGGATGGATCTTCAAACCCATCCATCCACGGCATTACTAGTATTATTGCTTTATCACCTTGCATGAACAGGCGATATTTGTCCCCTGGTACTCCGATCAACTGGCTATACTTGTCTGATCTGAGACAGTCCGTACAATTTTTGGACAATTTGTTCGAGATATCACCATGCGCCTACAATCGATCTCCACGCCGCAGAATCCCCGACGCATAAACTACTACTCGATATACACAATCCCATAACCACGCCGCACCTCGAACAATCCGTCGATCAACGTCCGCCAATGCGGGCAGAAGCATCTACGAATACCGCTCGCAGGACTCTCAAAGGCCAACAGTCCGAGCCACCGCCTTCCTTGAGGATTCGCAATGTAACCTCCGACCGAACTTCCGGCCTGTACGATTCCAACTCCGTACAAGATCGCATTCGACAATGGCAAGCACAAGGTGCTGCCAATGCGACTGCTCCGGATGCGGTCAGCGTTCGATCAATCCCTTACTCAGAGTGTGCTTCGACCGTCTCAAGACCAAAGTCCGAGTATGGAGATGAAAATGCAGTTCGCGCCGAGGGTCGGACGAGGCAGAAGTCGGAGGAGGAACCAAATCACAGCAGGAGCCGCAGTGCGCCCAGGAAGCGCATCATCAGTGACAGCCATTGGAAAGCGAAAAGAGAAGCCAGGGATCAGAAGAATGCGACAACTGCCCCAAAGATCCGCCCGCTGTCGACTCATTACGATCTGTCTTATACTTCGAACCAGGAAAAACGCGGAGAGCGAAGAAGATCGCAGAGGCACAAGGATAATGGTTCAGACCAGCCTTCGGTGCAGACGTCGAGATACAATGATGGAATCAGGGTGACGGCCGTGCCGGACGCTGAAGGAAAGCGGTCTGCCGAGGATGTGCCTCCACATACCGACCTTGATAGCCAAGTCGATGATGCGCTAGCTCGTCAATTGACGACTGGGTCGAAGGACACTCAGGATGAGTTTTCCCACAGATATTCAGGATCATCGTCTCGGCCCGAGGAACACGGCAGTCTCAGACGAAGGAGTAAATACGCCGAAATGCTTGAACAGGCAGCGCCTGCGCCGTCAGACAAGGACGCACCGAGGTCGAGGAAGCCCGGCCTTCTCGGCAGAACCAAGGACATGTTTGCGAAATCTGATCAAACGCCGTCTCTAGAGAAAAGACTTCCAAGCATTGAGGCTTGGCTGGATGAACAACCCGATCCGTTCGTCGATGAACCGACTACAAGAGAACCTCCTGCTGCCGGGGAGCCGCAACCCCTTAGGAGAGGCACCGAACGGAAAAGGACATCGACGGAAAAGCCCTACACCCCAGATCCTAACAAAATATGGGAATCCATTCAGCCGGAGCAACGACAGGCATCCTCTGCACCCAGCACCAAACGGCAGACCAACGCTGATGGAGTAATCAAATCCGCAGGCCGCGAACAAGGCTCTCCGATGACTTCGAGGGATCTCGAGAGGGATGATCAGCAGGACGTTGAAGGGTCGCCGTCTAGTTTGAGAAGGAGAGGGGCGCGACACCGTCGAGAAAGAGGATCTCCAAGGAGGAAATCATTAGCACAACCTGACTTCCAACAGCAAGGAGGAATCCCGGACGAAGAGCTTTCGGCCTTGACCAAAGAGGTTTCTCCATCGATGTCACCTCAGCGACCATGCCCACCCACGGGAGCACATCGTCTATCAACCATTGCCTCTGTGGAAACATTCGCCGGGAGTCATATTTTGCCAGCTCCTGACCAAGAGGTGCCTGCGAACAGTTGTGACCTCAAACGCAAGCTCACAACACATGAAGATTTGATGTCCGTGCTCTCTCTTCCCGGGAGAGGGAGGAGCCGGCGCTCTGTTCGAAGTAAGAGGAGTACACGAGGGGTTGTACACTCGGCCTCTGTGCAGGAATTAACCGAGGCATTCGTAGCGGACGAGGAGCGGTATGTGCGAGAGTTGCGCACACTGGTCGACGGAGTCATACCGGTCTTGTTGCAAAGCGTTCTCTCCAAGACCGATTCGGCGATCGCAGCAGGACTGTTCACGTCTTCAACCGCAACTTCAGATCAGACAAGCTTCACCAAGCCCATAATCGATATGGGAATCGCGCTTGAGCGGCTGAAGACATTGCACAGCCGCGTCTCCGGCCACGATGCTGTCAACGGCCACGACGTTGACAGCATCCTTTCCTGGGCGCAAACGGCACAGAGGGCATACAAAGACTACATTCAAGCGTGGAGACTCGGGTTTCAGGACATTGTCATCAACCTCGCTCCTCTGGACAACTCAAAACCGGGCACAACAGAAGCAGAAATGGCTCGTGATGAATCCGGCGATTTGGTGGACACAGACGGCAAGAAGGTGGACGTCGCATATCTCCTGAAGAGACCACTGGTGAGAGTGAAAGCCTTGAGTAAGACCTTCACTCGGCTCAAAGATGAATGTGACAGCCCTGTTGCTGCGCGGGTGGCAGACATATACATCGACCTCACGGCCATGGCGAAGCGGCGTCATCAAGAAGAACGAGCACGCTTGGAGGACGAAGCGGCAGCAAACATTGATGCTATGAGAGTCCGCGATATCCGAACAATGGCAGCCATCACCGGGGTTGTCGTCAACAAGTCTCGTCGTGTCAAAGCCAGAGATTTCTTCAGCCTCACTCTGTATCACTCAAGTGGGCAACGAATGGACTGTGGCGTCGAGTTGATTTTTCGAGACAACGCTCGTGGCGAGCCTGCTGGGGGTGATGTCCTAATCTGCGAGGTCGACGACACTGGAAAGTGGCTTCTATTTGCGCCAGTCGAATTGGGTTCGATATCAGCAAGGCGAGGCGAGGGTGGCTTCGACCTCGTGGTCATGCTACGTGGCAGAGCAGGCTTGGGTCAAGAATGGCACGAACTACTGGCCTTGAAGTCAGAGGATTCGCTTGCCGTGACGGAATGGATGACTATGCTCGGTTCAAACCCGTTACCACCCAGACTCAATCGAACGTCGAGCTTCGTCAAACATCGAGCCCCATCCGCAGAGCAGTTATCGAGCAAACCCAATCCCCGGGGGGAGCAGGTTCATAGTCTGACGCTTGGTCATGTTGGCGGTCTTGAACCTTTGGACGTCCCCCTCGGCGAGCCATCCATCATCGGTACCCGCACAGATACGAGCCAGCGTTCCGATCACACAAGGCCTGTGGTGAATAAACCATTACCACGACTGAATCTAGGTGGTGGTTTAGCCTCAAAGCCGGCCCCTCAATATGCTGCCTCGTCGGCGAGTGATGCGAGACACAGTCCTTCATTTGTCTCCTCAGATCATTCCACCACCTCTGACCATTCAGCGAGGGCGACCATTACGACACCGTCATCGAACTTGAAACCCGCATCGTTCACACTCGAGTCTTCACCCAAACAGACAACGAGCACGACAGACTTACCAGCCCGGTCTCGAGTGAATCCTCCCGAAACTCCTCCGAAAGAGAATCACACAGCTACGCGCAAGGATGAAGGACTATCGCCGATGTTTGGAAGGACGGACGATAACTCGCACATGTCGAAGAGCTCTCCAAACTCAAAGGGAACGCAGTTCTCGAAATCCGGCCTTGCTGAATCACCGTCAAGCAGACCACAAGCTTCACCGCCCTTTGCAGATCGCGGACCTACTTCCACAAAATCAGCCGCACCTGTTAACTCTGTTGCAACTGCTCAACGGCCTGGCTATCAACGGGCACTTTCGTCGACTCCGTCGAAAGAGCTTCCTACGGTCTCTAAGATCCGACCGCAGCAACAACAACCAAGTCTACCTGCTCCAAAATCTAGCCCCACTAGTCCGAGGACGCAGAAAGCAGTGTCTGAAGCCGAACCACGAGCGTCCAATTCTCAAGCTGGCTCTCCTACCGCCTCACGTTCTAAAGAGAAGCCGGCGAAGAGGAGAACTTCGTCGCCATTGAAGCACGAGTACGCTCCGTCAACAAGTTCGGACGAGTCGTCTGATTATGATACGGAGAGTGTCGGCGGCTCAGACTCCGATACGTCCGATGCTTTGATGTCAGAGTCCGGCGACAAGCCAACGCCGCTGGTTGCAATAACCGCGGCGGGCCGACGGCCTTCGAAGCCGGCAGGGGCACCCCCGACGTCGATACCATCGACCGGGACACGCACGCTGGCCCCGTCTGACTCGGCCTCACAAGGACCATACCGGAGGGTACCTTCGTCGGCAGCAGTGCCGGGGTCTAGGAAGGGCAGGGCAATCGCGCTGATATGTGCCTGGTCAAACAAAGGGTCGTGGGAGCAGATCCACCCCGATGAGTGCTCGATTGTCATCTCGCCAGGCTTGATCGAGGCATTTGAGATGAGCGCTGCTCACTCGGATCCGCAGGCAGACTTTGGCGCCAGCAAGCCCGATGGGCCTGACTCACGTGCATCTTCATTTGCAGTCCAACCGCTGGTGGCCTTCGAGTTGACGCCGATTGTTGCTCTTCGAAGGGGGACAGCAATAGACATTTCGATCCGGTCGCCTCCGACGGCAAACTCGAGAATCAAGACGACCAGTATCGTGATGTTCCGGTCCAGGAATCCGGAAGAGTGCGAGGTTCTGTATGGGATGATTAACTGGGCACGATGCAACAATCCGACCTACATTCAATTGCAGAGCGCACGTCCACAACGTCAGCCATCCGTAACATTCAATGTAGGTCAGGACAACCAGAGCCGGCCGAGGTCGAGCTCATGGTTCAATTTCGGCAGCCGACAGAAATCTAGCTATCGTGCCTCGTCGGCCCCAACACCGGCATCCGTCGATATATCGGTCGAAAGCTCCGGCACCATGGCCAGTGCCTTCTCAGCATTGAAAAGATTTGGTGCTAGTTCGGCCTTCAATCTGAATCGGTCGACAGTGACCCATAGAGCCGGTAACGAAGGTACGGCCGGGTCGTTGTATTCATCCAGCAGCGGTACGGGCACCGGGTCAGGTTCGAGTACGCCAGCTCCGAGCCAACTTGGCTTCGTTCCGGGCAAGGACGGACCCAACGTGCCGTCCACGAGCGCAGCCGCCGCGAACGGTGGAGGCATGGTGAACAACATGAAAATCCGGCTCTACGTCCGAAAGGGACAACACTGGGAAAATCTGGGCGCCGCACGTCTCAGTGTGTTGCCGACACCCAGCAATGCCGGTGCTCCTGCTGTTCCCGCTCCGCTCGAGTCTCGACAAACCACCCCCAACCAGCCAGGAGATTCTTCAGTAGAACCATCGCCGCCAACCACACCGACCCACAGTCGAACAGCATCCAACATCAACATGACGCCGCCCATGATCGTCGGGCAACCAGGCCAGAAGAATCGCGGCCCACGTCTCCCGAGTGCCAATCACACGCCGCACCGCGTCCACGGGAACGGACTGGAGAAGAGAGTGCTCATCACGCGGAACAGAGATCCCGAAACCGTGCTGCTAGACGCCGTGCTGGGCGAGAGCTGTTTTGAACGCATCATGCAGACGGGTATTGCTGTCAAAGTCTGGACCGAGACCCAGGTCATTGGCCACACGGGAGGGGTCACGATGGGTCGTGAGACAGTGTATATGATGCAGTTCCCCGGCGCGGGTGAGGCGACCTGGGTGTTCGGACTGTGCGGCACGAACAGGTACGCTATTGCCTATCTTGAATGATCTGAAGAGTTGAAACAGAGAGATGGATAAAAGGAAAGGAGTGAGGGCGGTTGGGATTTCCAAGATGGCGTTCTGGCATCATGTACTGGGTTTCCAACATTCAGCATACAGCAGGAATGGTGCGATGGGCGTTTTACTTTCGACTTGGAAGTGCTTGACGGTGATTTTGACGACTTGACTTGATTGAATGACTGGTGAAGTACTAGTAGCTGAATGGCGCGCTCAATGGCTGGGCCGGGTGGTTGACTGATTGACTTATCGGATGATTGAATGATCGATTGATCGATTCAACTGTGTATTTTCGCGAGCAGAAAACATGACAGGCGAGAGGAGATCCTTTTGAACGAACAGATCTAAAAAGAGTTGTTAGACCAGCTGATCATCCCTCTATTTAAAGAGTGGTTTCTTTTCCTCCTTCTCCTCTCTTCCTACGTATCAATGGTTGAGCGGTGTTGCTGTTTCCTGACTACCTACCTTGCAGTGCCGGATACCAGGATCATGTATTTCCCCTTGTGATCGGGTATCATCTTGTACTAGAAGGAGTAGAGTAGAGAAGAGTAGCACAATCCAAAGATGATCATCTGGATCATCAAGGTCGTAGGTGGTACTATCTCGCGTTGATGTTGACACTTGATCGCAGGAGGGTTGGATTCTGACAAAGCATCGTCGACCCCCCTGGTCGGATTGTTCCCATCGAGCTGGGATGCTGAGTAGTAATCATGTTCAATATTGTGACCTCCCATCCATCATGTCATAGCTGAAGTGCGACTACAGGATTGATAACTCCCTACCCAGTATGCTTTGAGGGCCGTGAGAGATGGGATACGCCATCTCCCCCCCC